GTCCAGGTTGTGGGCCAGCCTGGCATCTACATGGGAAGCAGGAGCTTTCTCTCTGCTTATTTTGATTTGGGAGGAATCTTCATCCGTTTTTAATTTATGCATTCGGACTGACTATTTTAGCGCAGGATTCCTGCAAGCAAACAATAGCCCTTTCTCCCAGGAAAGAGCTTACCCTCAGGGTCCAGAGTGCAGTCGGTAGGGCAGCCTGGGCACTCCATGGGCAAGCGGGAGCTTTCTGTCATGGCACCTCTAGTCTGGGAGGGATCTTTGTTTATATTCCATCTTGAAGTCAGACTAGCAATATCAGTGCAGGATTCTTGCAAGCGAACAACAGGCCTTTCTCCCAGAAAAGCAAGTGCTTACCCTCGGCTTTAAGGTCTGGGTTGTAGGTCGGCCTGGACACTCCATGGGTAGAAGGAGCTTTCAGCCCGGCCACCTTCTGTCTGGGAGGAATCTTTGTTTGTATTCAATTTTTGCAGTTGGACCGGGAATTTCAGCGCAGCGCTCCTGCAAGCAAATGAAAGTCCTTTCTGCTAGGACAGAACGTAGTTATCCTCAAGGTCTTAGGTGCAGTTTATGGGGCAGCCTGGGCCCTCCAAGGGAAACGGGAGCTTTTTGTGATGGCTCCTTTTGTTTGGGAGCAATCTTCATTCCTATTCCTTTTTGTTGTCAGCGAACAAAAGCCCTTTCTCCAAGCAAAGGAAGTGCTTACTGGCAATTTCAACATGGGTTATCTCCGAGCGAACAACAGCCCTTTCTCCCGGGAAAGAAAGTGCTTACGCTCGGGGTCAAAGGTCTAGGTTGTAGGCCGGCCTCCACACTCCATTGGCAGTGGGAGCTTTCTGTCCAGCCACCTTCTTTCCTGGAGAAATCTTTCTCTGTATTCAACTTTGAAGACTGACTGGTAATTTCAGCGTAGGATTCCTGCAAGCGAACAACAGCCCTTTCTCCCGGGAAAGCGAGTGCTTACCCTCAGGCTCTCAGGTGCAGTTGGTGGGCCAGCCTGGGCAATCCGTGGGCAGCAGGAGGTTTCTGTCCTGCCCCCTTCTGTCTGGGATGAATCTTCGTTTGTATTCAATTTTGCAGTCAGACTGGCCATTTCAGCACGGGATGCCTGCATGCGAACAACAGCCTTTTCTCCCAGGAAAGATAGTGCTTATCCCCAGGGTCAAGAGTCCTAGTTGTAGGCTGCCCTTGGCATTCTCTGGGCAGCAAGAGCTTTCTGTCCAGTCACCTTCTGTCTTGGAGGAATCTTCGTCCAAACTCAATGTTGGTAGTCATACTTGCAATTTCAGCACATGATCCTAGCAAGTGAACGATAGCCTTTTCTCCCAGGAAAGAAAGCGTTTACCCTCGGCGTCTCTGGTGCAGTTGGTGGCCCAGCCTGGACACTCCGTGGGCAGCAGGAGCTTTCTGTCTTTGCACCTCTTGTTTTGGAGGAATCTTTGTCCATATTCGATTTTGGGGTCAGACTGGCAATTTCGGTGCAGGATTCCTACAAGTGAACGACAGCCAATTCTCCCAGGAAAGAAAGTGCTTACCCATGGGGTCAGTAGTCCAGGTTGTAGGCCCGCCTGGATACTCCATGGACAGCAGCAGCTTTCTGTGATGGAACCTTTGTCTCGGAGGAATCTTTGTTCGTATTCAGTTCTGGCAGTCAGACTGGCAATTTCAGCACGGGACTCCTGCAAGCGAACAAAACCCCTTTCCTCTTAGGGAAGAAATGGCTTACCCTCAGCCTCTAAGGTTGGATTACCTGCAACTTTTATGATATCACACACCTGCAACCTCCCGCCCCCTTGTCTAACATCAGAGCGGAGCAGCTTCGGGTCGAGCACACGCACACCTGACACGTAACGCTACAAACGTGCGGCGCGGTGATGAGAGAAAGCTCTCGGCGAGAAGCAGAACTCCGAGAACTGAGATGCCGTTGAGCGAGATGACCTATGCAACTGCGGCGCCGAGCTGAGAATACCCTACGGCAACCTCTGGAAAGACTCAAAGAGAAGTACCTTGGACAAGAAGGGCCTGTCAAAACCGCAAAGAGGGACGCGCGAGAACACTACGTTTGGGATGTAAGACTGGAGGGATGGCTAACGGCACAGCCTGAAACATGGCCAGAGAGGACACCTGACTGTAAAATTCCAAGATGCGATTCTGATGCGAGATTGCAAGTCAAGGAACGGACGATATTGGCACCGTGCCGAGGAGACATTGAAGACCCTGGGGATGACGCCCCACGCATCCCTTAAGCCCCTTCGGGGCAGAACGCAAAGACGGCTGATCCGAGGAACCCGCAAGAAAGGCTAGACAAACTGTGCGACGCAGACCGGAACTGCTCTGCCCTGCATGGCCCGGTGTTGTGCTCCAAAGTAAGCTACTCCCTCTTTGTGCACTAGGGGCCTGTTACTGGACGTCCCTCTCTCCTTATGCTAATTTCTAGATCTATCCCAGAAATTCCCAACCCAGTACCCTGCTCTCCTCCCCTCTCTGGGTCACAGCCCTCCACTTATCTTTATGACAGCTGGGGGTGCAAATCCTTCTTCAACACAAAGGAAGGTCGTCTCGGCTACCTCAGACGTTCCTGCAGACGCTGGCTTATTCTCCTTGTCAGCTACAAGAAACAAAACCACAATCACTTCAGGAGCTTTGCAGCAGCTCAGCCGAACCCCAACAATTCCCACACTCACACTCTCCCAGCTGCACCGAGGCCCTCGGCTCGCCGGCTCCACACAGAGTCCTGCCACCTCTGCCGATGCCGGAGGCTGCGGCTGGCATCGCACGAGATACCCGGGTGAGCGACGGACAAAGTTACGTGGCATTTTGGAAAGCTCAGTGCACCCCTGCTCCTCCTGCCACCGCCCTGACTCACCTCGAATTCTCCTCTCTTTCCAAAGGTGACCTGGGCAGCATCTGCAAGTAGAAAAGGCACATGCTCCATCGCTGAGCCCTGCAATACTTTGGGATTACTCACAAGGCCAGCCCGAGACCACCCAACCTTGTCACAAAATACTAGGCATGTTTGTAGCTCACCAGAAAAATAACATTTACTTCTGTTGAGGAGTCCATGCTCATCTTGCTCACCAGTGTTCACCTGGCCCTTCTCCACACTTGTGCCGATGGCCTCTTTCACCCATTTGTGCAGAAATGGTCGGGACAGAAAAGTCTTGCTGTCCTTTACCTCCCCTGGGCAGCCTGTCATCTACACCTTCAATCACGGGGCTACATGCTTTCCTTCCTATGGAAAAGACTATATCATGGTTTGGGGTTTCTGGGTCACCTCAGACCAGCGGGTTCACAGCTGAGCTGCAGTTTCTCTCATTGTGCCCAGTGGTGTATCGGCTGAGCTCAGGGGTCAAATCACACAGACACCAGCTGTGGATGCTAAGGCTGATCTAACTTCAAGAACAGCCGCGGCGGGCACCGCGCGTGCACAGGTTCCCTCGCTGCAGTACCACCTTTAGATCAGCAGGGAGCGATGCAGAGCAGTAAGAGTCACTGCGCATGCGTTGTTCCATATCCCGGGCGCCTTTAACTACCACGTGACCGCTGGCACCTTGCAAATGACTGCGCATGCGCAGATATCGCCATCTTGCCCTTTCTCATCACCGGATCTTCTGGTTTCATTTCCTTACTGCGCGTGCCTCACCCACTTTTCGGGGCCCCCACCTTTTCTGGGGCCCCTCCCTGACATTTTGGGGTTCCCCCTCCAATGTTTGGCTCCTTGGGGTTTCCCCACCCACCCTTTGGGATCCTCTCCTCCCATTTTAGGGCCTCCCAATTTAGGGTTCAGAGGGTGCGTGTGGGGGAGTTAACTGGGTCCCCAAGAACTTTTTTTTCTCTTATATTTCAATTTTAATTTTATTTTTAATTTTCTTGCCTTTTTTATTTTCTTTTGTATTTTATATTGTATTTTATATTTTCTTTTTTATTTATTTTTTATTATGTTTATTTTTCATTTTCCTTTAATTTTTTTTTTTTTTTTTTTTTTTTTTTTTTTTTTTTTTTTTTTTTATTTCTTATTGTTCCAGAGAGGGAAACACTGCAGCTCCTCTGGGCGAGAGAAAGGCCCCCCTGCTCTTCCCTTAAACACAACACCCGGAATCAGTGCCCTGGGAGCCCACTCCACTCATTTCAGGGACTGGGGTTCACCCAGAGGGCCTTTGCCAGCATCCAGTGGAAATTACAGTGCGGGCAAACGCACTTCCAGTAGGACTGCTGAGACGCTCCTGGCCAAGGCAACCAGTCAGATCAGTGATGATCTGGGGGGGATTTTCAGGGGAATACTTCCAGATTTTATTCTCCAGAAACTCCAGTTCTTTCTGGCACCTTTTGTCTCGTAGTCTTTTGCTTTTCATCTGGCAGGAAAGTCACCACACAAGCACACTTTTAGTTGTGTAGCGTGAATGCAAACCGTTCCTGTGTGGCATGTTGAGAGCAGCACGTGCTTGGCCATCCTGAAGCTGAGTAGTTTCTGCTGCTTTCAGGCATACCGAATAGGCATGCATTCTATGGAAAACTCTCAGCAGGTGTCTGAAATTACCTTACACCTTTACGTTTGCGAAGCCGGCGCTCGGAGGGACTCTGCTGCGGGCCGGCCCAGGCCCCTCGCTGCACAGGGGCGCGGGACAGTTCCCGGCGGCGGCGGCTAGGCCGCTCGCTCGCAGCCAGACACTACAGCTCCCGACGGGCCCTGCGGCGTCGCCGTGCCTCATGCGCCGTGGGAGGGGCCGTAGGGACGAGGCGGGCGCGCGAGGCCGTGCGACGGGAGCGGGATGTGCGCGTGGAGCTCCCGGCGCCTCTCCCGCGCGGGACGGAGTTGCGGGAGCGACGCTGGAGGGGTGAGGTCTCCGTCTGGCCGCCCGCATGGAGCTGAGCAGCGCAGAGGCGGCATCCACCCGGTTCCTCGGCCTCACTCAGCGGTACCGGAGGCGGGGGCTGAGCTCGGGCGGGGCGCGGCGCGGTGCGGACCCGCCCTGGCCATGGGGGAGAGGCGGCGCTTTGCCTTCGCCGGCCGGGGCCGGAGGGGTCACGCGAACGGGTGGGCGGCTCTCGGGCAGCGCAACGGCGGGAGACCCCGAGCTGCAGCCGCCTGTCTCAGAGCTGCTGCAGGTGGCGTGAGCAGAGTCGGACGAGTGTCTTCGGAGTCGGTTTCGGAGCTTATTCAGCGTTGCACTCGGGCAAGCAGCTACCCCTAGGATATCTCTGCAATTATCCGATTGCTGAGTGCGCTTGTACCTGCGACTGCTTCTTAGATGAAAATAGATTGACCGATACTGGCAAGTAAACGTGTGGAATGTGAGGAGAATGGCGAGCCAGAAGGCACGCACGGTGTGTCGTTCTGATCACAGAGGTGCAATCTGCCGACTCACCCCCTTCTGCCACTACCCTTCTGCCCCCAAGTAAAGTGCTTTCCAGTGTCGAACTTCTGAAAGACAAAACTTGTGATTTGACACTGGGATCCTAAAACTGTCTAGATTTAGATCAGCAAATATGTTTGTGCTTCGTTATTCAACTTTCAGGACTGTTACAGTTTGTAGGAGCTTCTGTTGAAATGGAAGGAAGCTAGTCCTGTCTCCTCTTAGTCATTACTGTTCGTGTATAGAACAGCACCTGTTTCTAGACAAAGAGGAGGGGGAGGTGCAGTGTACCTTAGGTGCTGTACAAATGAGCGTGAGCTAATTTTTTTCATGTCAGTGAAGGGTCGTATGTATTTAAACACTTTGCAATGTAAGTAAATTTGAAATTAAGCCAAAGTGATCTGAGCCACTGAGGAACTAAGCTCTTTGGTGCTGGCAGTTCACCTTAATAGGATGAAAACTACTCTAAAACTGTCACAACTGGAGCAACAGTTTTTCTGATGTAGTAGATCAGGTCAGGACTGAGAAAGGATATAATTCAATGAAAAAGATTAATATAAATAGTTGATGTTAATCAACTTAATGTTAATCAATTAAATTAGCTGACGTGATGTGTCAAAGAGTTGAGTACAAATCTTCGTGGTAACCAAGAACAGAGAGCCAAGGAAGTATGCAGGCAAGAATTCTTCAGGGAGTATATGCACTTACGCAAATAGCGTGATAACGTAAATCTTGCCTATGCATAAATTGAGGCTAAGATGCCTAACTTTCATGAGGTTGGCTGAGGTTGTTGCATTTATGTTGGTGTGAGATTCTGCTTTAATTTCTTGATACAAAGCACATGACACGAAATAGGTTGAGAAGAAGCAGAGATTAACTATTGGGTATTACTTTGATTTTTTAAAGGACTGCTAGTGTGTTTGAAAGTTAGGTATGTTTTAGGTAGTTTGGGGACACAAATGGATTAGAATATTAATATTAAAACACTCTTGTTTTAATAATTTGTTTAGATATACTTCAGGTTTTTTAATTAGTGAGAGCAGTGTGAGAAAAATGCTTTTAATGCCAGAAGGTGTAGTTTGTGGCAAGACACTGTATTTCCTCAAATTATTGGAGTGTAGTTTGTGGAGGGGTTGGAGCATAAACCTTTCTGATGTGTAAACTGTTCTTCAAGCGTTTTCTGAGCTTGTCTGTATTTTCCCTCTGTATCATGTGGTCTAAGAAAATAGATTATTTCTCCAATGAAATTTGCTTGTTCCTAGTGTTCTCTGCATCACTTGATGAATATACCCTGTCTCTCTAGGTCTGTGAATTTATGTAACCTTAGTAGGAGTAGATCTTTGGGGTGGGATGGAGTCCTGTGGATTCACCTTACAAGGCATGCAAGGTTATCACGTCTTTCTTTTTCACCTGTGTCACCGTAAATGTCTGTGACTGTGAGATTGCACTAGAGGCTGGCTGTGGTATTGCGGTAACTCATCTCAAGACCTGATGAATAGCGATGTTCAGCCTCTTCCAGTTTCCTTGCAGAATGTGACAGTGCTGTCTCCTTGTTATTTTATTTATTTATACTGGCATTGGCTCCTTTGCATGCTTATTATTGTGTCTGTGCTTATCATTGTGTATAGAAATCTAATACAGCCCTGCTCCCTGTCATTCTGTCACTAGCAAATCTGATGAAATGTGAAATGTTGGAGTATGTTGGAGTGCCTCCTAAAGGCAGCGACTTTATAGATTGACATTATGGAAATGTTTTTAAAAAAATCTAATAAACATACTGAAATTGTTTAGATAAAAAGGGTTTCTTTGAGAATCTGGAATAGAGGATATATTCGTATGGTAGAGAATATAGTTTGTAGGCATCATACCAGCTGTGAAGAGCTCTGCATTTCTAAGTGGAGAAAAACCACAAGTTTATATATCAGTGGGTTTCCTTCAGCATCCTCCCTATCATGGTCTTATGGTCATCATCTGGTGAACCTTTCTTTGAACTAATCTGCCTCCAGAACTTTGCTAGACGAAACGTTGAGGACACCTGAGAGTGTGGAGGACAACCATCTTTTCCATGTTGGGGAGGAAAAAAAAAAAAAATTTATGTAACAGCCCAGACTTAACTCTGCACCTCGCTTTGTCTGTTGTTTTGATTCTCTGATTGGGAAATGTTACTGCAGTAGTCATTGTTGGTATGTATCTTAATGACCTTAGTTTGTATTAGACCAGGGTCTTTACTTTTGCACTTTGTATTTCTGAGTAAATGGTTTTCATGTTGTGTCTTTCTTTAACTCCATAACCGGTATTTTGTTACATCAGTGCATACACATGTATGCACATACATGTGTTGTATGCCTATATACATTCCTTATTTCTATGCCTTATGTTTGGGTTTGAATACTAGTTTTGTGTTTAATTTTTTAAAGCTTTTTGTTAGCTGCTGACTTTATCTCCGCAGCATTAATATGCTCCGATCTTAGCATCCTTTTTTCTGAGAGGTTGACTTTCACTCAGCTGAAATATCACCAAAATAAGGATTGTGACTTAGTTTGTGTATGCAGATAGTTCTGAAATGCCACCATAACTCCCTGGCTTTATCGTGCAGGTAATTCACAAGACGGCATTTTCCGCTGGGTTTCATGTGTTTTGAGGGTAGCTTTGCCACAAGGCATAAAGTAGTTCAGTTTTATAAAGCTCAGCTTGCTTTTTCTGCTGCTTTGTGGAGCTGTTGCATGACTGATGAAAATCTGTACAAATTATCCAGGTGGAGATGGTTCCATTGGAAACACAATAGGCCAGATACTCTTTGTGGTGACTTTCTGATTTGTATTATATTTGTGATCGGGATTGTCCAGATGTCTACCAGCAGTACTGACAGTGCCAAGTATTTATTGATCTCATTTGCTTTTACAGTGGTTTCTAAGGCAACTAGCACACCTGGTCACAAAAGCAGATTTTGTAGAAGAGAAGAAGCACACAAAAAAATGCTAGTGCTACTATGATTAACTGGTTCTGTAAAAGTCAAAAATTCTAGAAAACCCACAGTGCCTTAAAATATATTGCAAATGGGGCATTCCATTTGTTCTGTGAAGCATCTGAGAAATTTTGTCTGTCTCTTAAAATGCAGGAAGTCTAAAAACTGCATTCAGTACATTATTACATTTTAGCTTTTATCTGAACTTTCCAAATTCCCTCAGAGGTGTGTGAAAAGGCAAAGGATCACTTTCAGCCCATGCAAAACTAAACTCTCTGTTACATCTGGAAGAGAAAAGAAAATGTGATATCCTTACTTTTGTCTGTATAGATGCTGATCTTTAAATACTTCTATTAAGACATACTTCTATGTCTTAATAACTTCAGAGAAGATTTTTTAGCCAGATTTGTGCTTCCCTCTGAGAGAAAAAGATGAGAACTCATGAGTAATAGCTTAAAATATTTTTCTTTACTACAAACAATTCTGAATTAATGTGGGTTTTTTTATACTTCCCTTCAGTTGATGGAAGAAGATGATGCATTTGCAAGAAAATGTAATATATGCACAATTTCCTTGTAAATAGCATGTAGGAGTAGGGTGAAAAGAGATTATCCAAATACACTTTAAATGAGTATGTCAGTTATTGCTACAAAACCACATAAAGTGGAAGGTAACTGTAACATAAATTTATTTGAGATGCGCAGCTCACAGGTACATTCAGTCATTTCACTACTCTGGGCCATCTTCTTTGTGTCACAGGCTCAGAAGGAACTGTTAAGTGTTGTGGCTACCACTTCTGTGCGATATCGTGGCACTATTGCATGGCAAGGTTCACTCGAAGGCCCCAGAGCAGTAGTGGTAGGTGTATAAAAATATTGGACATAAAGTCCTTGCGGTGTGTGTGATGGCTTAAAATTTGAACCTACTCCTGGATGCTCAGACTTCATGACTTAAGAACACTAAGGTGGAGTCACAAATGTGAAAAGATAGGTAGAGATTTTGAAAATTCCATCTTCAGGACATTCTTTTTTCAGATGACAACCTGAAGTAACCTTACAGGAACTGACTCTTATTGTGGCTCATTTGTAATTTGTATATCTCTTACATTTTTAAAATTGTTTCTCTTTTCCTTTTGTCTCTGTCTACGTTCTGCTCTGCCACGAGGAAAAAAGGAGTATTGCTGTTGCTTTCAATGAGAGTACAAGCTGTTGAAACTTCAGGTTTTAACACTTACTGTTTAATCTCAAGTGCGGTAAGGCTTGAAATACTTTTATCTGCAAACTACATCATAAGTGAGATTAAACTGGAGCTGCTTTAAAAACAAGGGCTTTTAGATCAGGACCCAAACTCAGTTTCTTCTTTTATCACAGACTTTTCCCATCTCTGCTGTGCAGATTCACGATGTGGAAATTTACTCTTTTCCTGGAAGGTATTTCAGGCCAGTTCTCAGGAAAGCTGTGATTAATAACTGTCCCCAGTCAAACATAAGTTCACTGTGTAGGCAACCACATGCTGAAAGCTTATATCATTGTCTATGTATTTAGGCCATAATACTTCCGACTGAGTGATTGCTTTGGAGCTTGTGAAAGTTACATCTAATGTGGATTGACCTCAGTTCTTGTAGGCAGTTTTCCTCAAGTCATTTGTATTACTGCTGCTGTGGCATGTATGCATATGCCCTCAAAGTGTCAGAGAATGAACAGCTGGTTCTGGGCTCTCTGTAAGCTGAGCTAACGAAGATGGAACGCCTACACCTGGCAAGATGTCAACCACGGACAGTGAGGACTCTAACGCAGAATGGGTTTCCTGTCAGGAGTGCTGATCTATTGAATTCAGACGTGTGGCTATGTCCAATCATGAGTTGTTATGTTAGCGGTAAACCAATGGTGCGTGTACGTGTGTTACCTAGAACTGTTTAAGTAGCTGCACTGCCGTAATAAAGTGAGCTGGTATCCTGATGCCATGTCGTGTACCACCCCAACCCACGGCAGGGTTGATGATCAGCCAGGTAGATTTAATACCCATGAACCCATGGGCCCTGATGGGTTCTGAAGGAGCTGGCAGATGTTGCTCTGCCACTCTCCATCATTGTTGAAAAATCATGGAGAATGTGAGAGGTGCCCGATGCCTGGAGAAAAGTCAGTATTACTCCCATCTTCAAAAATGGCAAGAAGGAGAACCTGGGAAACTGCCATCCAGTCAACCTTGCCTCCATCCTGGGAAAGGTGATGGAACAGGTCATTCTGGGGCTCATCACCAAGCATGTAGAGGAAAAGAGGGTCATCAGGAGTAGTCAGCATGGATTCACCAAGGGGATATCCTGCTTGACCAGTCCGATACCTTCTGTGATGACGTGGCAGGATAGGGCAACAAGGGGAGAACAGTAGATGTTGTCTACCTCGACTTCAGTGAGGCTTTTGACGCTGTCTCCCATAACATCCTCGTAGGTAAACTCACGAAATGTGGGTTGGATGAATGGGCAGTGAGGTGGATCAAGAACTGCCTGAATGGCAAAGCTCAGAGAGTCATGATCAGTGGAGCAGATTCCAGTTGGAGGCCTGTAGTCAGTGGCACTCCTCAGGGATCGATATTGGGCCTAGTCTTACTCAACCTGTTTATCAACTATGTGGATGATAACAAAACTTGGGGGAGTGGCTGATCCACCTGAATACTGTGCTGCCCTTCAGCAGGACCTTGATAGGCTGGAGAGTGGATGGAGAAAAACATAATGAGGTTCAACAAGAGCGAGTGCAGGTCCTGCACTTGGGGAGGAATAAGCCCTAGTACCAGCACAGGTTGGGGGCTGACCTATTAGAGAGCAGCTGGTCTGAAAAGGACCTGGGAATATTGGTAAGTGACAAGTTGACCATGAGCAGACAGTGTTTCCCTTGCAGCCAGGAGGTCAATGGGATCCTAGGGTGCATCAAGAAGAGTGTGTCCAGCAGGTCAGGGAGGTGATCCTACCCCTCTACTCAGCCCTAGTGAGGCCACATCTGGAGTGCTGTGTCCAGTTCTGGACTCCTTAGTACAAGAAAGAAGAAGAGCTGCTGGAGAGGGTCCAGCAGAGGCTACAAAGATGATGAAGAATCTGGAGCATTTCCTGCGAGGAAAGGCTGTGGGAGCTGGACCTGTTTAGTCTAGAGAAGACAAGGCTGAGAGGGGATCTCATTAATGCATATAAATATCTCAAAAGTGGGTGTTCAGAGGATGATGCCAGACTGTTTTTGGTGGTGCCTAGCAACGGGATGAGGAGCAATGGCCAGAAACTGACACACGAGAAATTCCACCTCAACCTTAGGAAGAACTTCTTTCCATGGGGGGGTGGCAGAGCACTGGAACAGGTGCCCAGGGAGGGCGTGGAGTCTGCCTCTCTGGAGACATTTCAAGCCCACCTGGACGTGTTCCTGTGTCATGTGCTCCGGGTGACCCTGCCCTGGCGGGGGGGTTGGACTGGATGGTCTCCAGAGATCCTTCCAACCCTAAAAATTCTGTGATTGTGTAGTCAAGCTGAAAGGCAACTGATGGAAAAAGTCCGGGGTGAATGTTACCAGAAGCAATAGCGTCATCCAAAAGTCTTATGCACGTGAATTTAGAAAGGCAGCTCTGTTGTTGCAGCAGCAAACGTTCCTGCTTCAGTTTATGGGTCATTCAAAATTACTATTGTAGTCATGTTCTTATCCCTCATGCATAATTTGCATACTGCAAGTAAATACCAAATAATTTTGGTGAGTTTTAAAGTTTCATTAGATATGTCTCGTTCATGTTGCTTCGTCTTGGGTAAAAACACGGAATCCGAGTGGACAGAACTCAGAAATATGAATTATGTTTAATAAGTTTTAAGTACTTACAAAATCAAATAGAAAACCTGTCTGAAAATTAGGATGTTTCTGAGTCCTTGGTCTCAGTATCTCCTACAGTCAGGAAGCACATATGAAGGTGTTACATGAAAATTTAGATATGTCTTCTGCTTATTGATGTAACATTACAATTTATAGTACTGATAATTCTCAGAAAATTTTATCTCATGTTGCTAGATGGAGGATTTCTTCTTGTTTCACTTGGTTGAGTTTTTTTTTTCCATTTAACTAAAAAACTTTATTTTCATAACTGCTGACATAAGGGTGAACTGTAAGTTTGGACTATGATGGAGGGGTTGATCTGCTGGCCCTGGTACAGTCTGAATAATCGAGGTTTATGTTAAGTTTCCACCTGCACCTTTATTTAGCTTGTATTTGTAACATGTATATCCCCACTGCAAAGGCAAGAGGCTTAGTGTTTGTAGTTAGAGGAGGTGGTGCTTAATGTGATATGATGGTATGAGATTATGTGTGATAATACAGGTACATTTTAAACATCATATTCTAGGATTATATTGGCTTGCTTGATAATTCTGTCTTTGTTAAGGTGGTGGAAGGAAACCTATGATATATTGTTGTTTTCTTACACTTATGAATTAAGTGTAAGAAATTAAGTGCTTTAGTTTCTCTTTGTGTGGAGGCTGAAAAGAGACTGAAAAAATCAGTGATTGTGACAATCCACAAACCACAAAGTGTGGTCTTATTGAGTATAGTGCAGTTGTTCTGTTTGAAGCATTGAGTTTATTGTAGGTTTTTCTTCCCTTAGATTTTCAAATGTGGTTATAAGCCACCACCCACTTTGAAACTCTGATTGCATCATAGCTAAATATTTAATTTAATTGTAGCTTTTACTCCCAGTCAAGACCCAGACATTTCTTTTCCTTTGGGGTAATATGAAAGCCGGACTGCAGTGGCTGCTGGAGATTGTGTATGCTGTAAAGAGTGTTCTCTGCAGTGAGAAGTTCACACACTGTGAACCTCGTTAAGCAGGAATGATTTTTTTTTTTAACGTTAGAGTGTTGCATCGCAGGAAATGTAAGTCTAGTTGATCTGTGTACACTGATGAAGCATTTCTATTCCAGGTCTGTCTCTGAAGATCTGGGTTGCAGACGTGGAGACTTTAGCAGAAAGCATTATGGATCTGTGGAGCTTGTAAGTTTATGTAGTTTGTCCTTTGATTTATCACCTTACACAGAGCTCAAATACCCTTCATTTCTAGGTCAAAAAATTGAATTTAGTTTGGAAAATGTGCTTCCTAATCTGGACTTGAAAGTTGTAGACTAATAAAAAGAGGCTTCAGAATAGATATTTTAGGCCTGTGATTGGAAATATTTTTACTGCTTTATTTATGAATATTTCATGATAACAGATCAGAAAGTGTTATATAAATATCGTGTTTACCTCCAGATGAAATTGAGCCTTTTTTCTTCTTATAAGATGAAGATTGCAAAATAGTAGTATTTAATGAAGTACTTCCTATTATGTAAGTCATAAAATGTGTGCATGCTCACATGTGTACAAATGTATGTAATGTTATATGTGCAGGCCTCAGCAGTGGGAGAAGGTTTAAAACTAAAAGAACTAGAATAGAGATATAGAAATTGGTTCCCTAAAATCTATCCATTATCCTGTATTTTATTCAAATTCAAAGATTAATTTGGCACTTTGTTTTTCTCCTACATAAATTTCTTCTCTGCTGTGAAAACAGCAGTATATCAGCAGTTAAAATAGTGTCACTGATTACAAGGTCATAATGAAATTATATAAATTACCATAGGAAAGCAGAAGTGAGGAGAAGTAAAGAAAATGAACTCCAGTTCTCTTACTGTGGGAATAAATCACAAATTTTCTACTAACTATAGTTGTAATTTAAAGTTCTTGGGTAGTATATTTATTATTATGTATGTAAATTGGGTGTAAATTGTTGGCTTAGTTGCTGTAAATTGCTTTGCAAGAACACCAGGTGTCTTTCTTTTCTTTCCATATATTCACATAACAGTTACGGTGTTTTAATAAAAAAATACAAGTGAACTGTTTTCTGCTAAGAGGCTCTTTCATTACTAATACTTTGACTCTTTTGCTGGAAAAGTTATTTGTAATTATAAATTCACAGTAAGCTCACACAAATGGTCTTGTCTTTTGGTTGGTTTTCTTAAAACTCTACTGGTATTTTATCAAATTTTTATGTTTTGAAGTACAAACAATTAAAGGTTCATGTTGCCCTTTCAAATTTCTAAATCTTCAGTATTTAACTCTTCTTGCCCAATGTTTTTCACAGTAGCATCTTAGTTGCTCAATTCTTTCAAGATCATTTTGTCTCTTTTTCTTACATCTTTCCCACTGTCTGCCATTTGTCCGTATAATCTCTCTTACAGTTTATATAAGGCACCAGGACGCATTGGAGGTTTTGCCATGTTAGTTTATTTCTGACATAGCCTCGGGTTGCTTCAAAACAAGGAGAAAACTTCAAAATGTGATAACTCTCCTACTAAGTGAAGAAGGTATCGTCCTAGAATAACATAAATTGCTAGAGGGAAGCAATGAATTATTTTTGTTCAGATCCCATTTCATAAATTTGGGATGATATGTGACAGTCACCCTTTTTACGGTTTAGGGAGGAGTAACATGCAATATCATTGGCAGTGTTCTCCTCCTCTTCTCTTGTAGAGATCCTAAGCAGTTGCAGGACACGTGAGAATTACTTCATTGTCCTTAGCTTTACTGTCTTCTCAAGAGCTTCTTTAGCAACAGAGAGAGTTTCAGTGTTCTGTGAATCCCTGGATTCCCTTATAAAAAGACCAAGCAACCTCTCCAGAGTATTTATGAAATTGTTGAACTCTTCAGTTGTAAACAAGCCTTAGTTTCTGATGTTAGTGCTGAAGACAGACCAGGACGTCTCCTGTACCTTATTTTGTTCGGTGTCATCACTGAGCATTGTGTTTGGAGATTCTTGTTGCTCTCTGTCTCCTGAAAATATCAATAAATGAAGACATCAATCAATAAATAAAAAGCAGTAAAAAAACTGCTAGTCCCAGTAATACTACCAACAAGTAGAGTTTTAGGCTTTGCAAAACTGAGAGGACAAGAATCATCATGTCTATAAGACCCATTTTTTTGAAAGGAGCAATCTTCAAGATCAATTTCTGGAAGGTGGACAAGTCCCTCTTTAGGAGTACTGTGTGTTGGTGCAGCCAAAATCTGAGACGGGAGAATTTCTCCTTGGTACTTGGATCTAGCAAAAGAGTAAATTTCTTATGCATTTGTGCCTACATAGAGTTCTTACCAGGTCATTCAAAGCCTGTAGTCAAACTGGAAATAGCTGGGCTGATCTCTTTGGGCAGTTATGTGATGTCTGGAACAAGAAGAAATGGTAGTGAGCTTTGATTGCTGATGGTATGGCTATTTTTGGAACTAGAACCTCTATCTTAAACTCTCTTGTAGCTTATATCTAGTGATGCCGATGGAGCCATTCAAAGAGCTGGGCGGTTCCGTGTGGAAAATGGCTCCTCTGGTGAGGTAAGTGGCTAAAAATTCTCACAGAAAGCTGAAAAAATAGTTCAGCTTCAGTAGTTCTTCACCAATGAAAGATGTATTTGCAGTCAGTTACTAAGTAAAGAGGATGCAAAAAATGCTAAGTAATAATATGAGAATGTAAGAGTCTAAAAAGAGTAAGATGTGGTTTTTTCCCTCTCACAGACTAGCTTAGCTTTTCATTCAAGAGTATGTAGTCTAAGGGAAAAGCTGGCATTTTGTTTCATTTTGGTAGCGTTTTTGTTCACCAGTTCATGATAGAAGAAAAATATCAACCCTCTGAATGACACTTGATAGTCTCCAGTTTGTGACTTTATATTGGTGTCCTGATAATACAACTATGTTCAAGCTGACCTTTGTGCTTTTAAGTTTGTTGGCATGATGAAGTTATACCTTCATTTTTGTCCCCTTAGTTGTCTTTTGGCAGCTGTGCTTATCTTTAAATAAGAAATAAAGAAGTTGAGTGGAGCCTCAGAGAGTATTCCCTCCAACTTCCCGCACTGCTAAACTCACAGTGTGTCCCTGTAACCACTCCAGTGACACTTAGGTTTCCGTTTATCTTCATGTATTATCTTCCTTTGCAAAACCTTTTCATCTGTAAAGACCATCTTAATATTGAAAGGAAGAAGACCTCATATTCTTGAAATACATGTGAGGTCTTGGTAAATTTGTATTAAACTAATGTTAATGGCAAACTATTACTGATCGTCTATTTGCATCAGTGCTGGGTGCAGAAAGTGAAGCAATGTAACTATTTTGCATTGATTTTCTGTGGGGTCATGTTTGATACTCTGTTTTTTTAGCTGAGTTTCATGCAGTTCAAAAACTGATTAGCTTGGATCACAGAAAGATTCCCAGAGTGGGCAGTGATTGGCCACAGAGTGAATGAATAGTTAGAATGTCTTTTTCTTTGCATATGGTAATTCTTAGTGGAAAAGGACTGGAGGGATGCTAGGGAATTTACCTTAACTGGCCAATCCAGAAACAACACTGAAGAACTTCTAAAGTGTGCTTTGGTCAAGCAAGGAGTCCTTAGCGATTATTTTGGGAAGAACTGAGAAAATGAAACCTGGATGTAGAATTTCATTCATTAATTTATTTATTTTTAAGTTTTAGAATGTTTTTCTTCAAATTCCACATTGAAATATCTTCTTTTCACTGAAATTCTAAGCCACTGCCTGTGCTAGTGGTATACTAGGATAAGTCTGCAGTTACTTAGAAAGAAATGGGGAAAAAAGAGAACAGGAGAGGGAAAAGTTTCAGTTTCAGCTGCACACCAACTGACTTCAGAATAATTCTTGCTTTTTAAAAAGCAGTGTACAGCTAAGACATCAGATGAATCAGCCAGTCTCAGATTTTGCCTATATTTTGTCTTTATTTTTCACTTGGTGTTTAATGTGACAATCTCGCAATTCTGTTTCAGAATACAGACTACACGCCGGGTACGTGGCACAGAACGGATGTGCATTTGGAAAACCCAGAGTATCATACGAGATGGTATTTCAAATATTTTTTAGGGAAAGGTAACTTTTGTTTTTTGTGAACGGATTGGAGTTTGAATCTGTGAAAATGTAATGTAGCTTTGAATAGCTATTATTTCAATGCAGAAAAGGTGTGGTGTTAATTTCGGTTTCTGTAAGTAATGAAACCTCTGCTACCTAAAAGGCATGTTTTGAAAACCTTCTTGGCTTTGAAATCTGTACCTATCTTTTGGATTTTTTTAACACATCTGTATATAAAAACATAGTTATGTAGACAGTTAAATATTTTACATATGAATGCGTAGATTTACAGGTTGTGCATGTCTTCTTTATGGTTGATACTGCATCTTGTTTTTCTCTAACAGTTCATCAGAATTATATAGGTACAGATGCAGAGAAGAACCCTTTCTTTCTGTCTGTTGTACTGTCTGACCAAAATAATCAGCGCATTCCTCAATATCATTCAATACTTTGGAGAAAAACAGTAAGAAACAAGTAGTTAACTGCTGCTCTGACTTTTGTTTCGTTTGGATATGTTTATCATACACTTCTTCAGAATTGCAGTATTTATTGTATAATGTCATTGTATACAAGAAGAACATATAATTCTACTGTAGTAGATACAATTAAACTAAATTTGTAGATAAATTATAATAAACTTTCTGACAGAAATCTGTGATGTCGGATATTTACTAATTTTTCTTACCTGCAACTCTGCTTTTTTTTAGAAATGTTGCCTTAAATGTTTTTGATTATGTCCTGTGATCAATTTAGGCAATTATTTTCTTATATAATGGTAAGAAAATAGGCAGGTGTGATACCGCTTTCACTAATGTTATTTAATTAATTTTTTTTCCACTTAAAGTTCCGTAAGAGCCCTTTATTTAAGCAATTGATTTAAAACTCTCCCGTGGACATGCATGGTTCTTTTTTTTTTTTTTTTTTCCTTTGCAACATCATTACTTTTTCTCCAAACCATCAGTAAATATAGCAAAATAAAACTAGCTCAGTTTTCTTCTTATTTTAAATTTTTTTTTATTTAATTGTTTTATTAATATTCCTACTTGAATTAACAGGTCAGTATGTCCTGTAATATATCCTGGCTTTTCTTCTTTATAGGGTACTCAGAAAATATGTCTCCCTTATAGTCCCACAAAAACATTATCTGTGAAATCTATATTAAGGTATGTATTGACAAATAGGTTATCATGTAAGATATTTGCCGGTATGCCTTTTCCTCTAATTCAGAACTTGAGTTCCGTGGTTTTCATGATAGATTTATAAAAACAGTAAAAACGGTTTTGAAAATCCCAATCACTGAAGGCAGCAAAAAGTGGTTTTAAAGCCTGTTCTGTAATAGGTAAAGTGATAACTTAAAATGGAGAAAAATTCTTAGCACTTTTTCTTTAGCAGAGGGACTATTTTCAAGTTAATTAGAAAGGAGATGCTAAATACAATCTGTATAGAGTAGAAGCAAATGTCTCTTGCTTTATTGAAGCCAGACCACTGGTTAATGCTGCCAGTGCCTGTGTGAGAGGGGAATTCTGGAAGCAGGGCATGTATTGGGGTGTGAAGCCACTGCCACCAGATCTGGATTTTCCTACTACTGCACAAGATTTATGAGGGGTCTCAGACCACTGAATTTTTCAGAGACACTACCAGGCCACTGAGTCTCACTTCTTAAATCTGATTTCCTGGGCTGTGGCTCCATTTTGTCATGTCAAGATGGTGAGTTGAAAACACTTCAGATGTCTTTCAGCTTCTTCATCAAGATGACCTAAGTGCCCTCATTCTTTTCCTGTAAAAGTACCTGATTTTCCATGTCTGTCCATCAGTCTCTGAAGTATCTCTTCCTAACATCCCTTTCCAGCCCAACCTCTCCCTCCGCTCCACCCACATACGTGTTTTTGGTCAGACATTGCAGAGTGGAGAAACTTCGTCAACTGTTAGCTTAGGTCATAACTTTTTTTGCTGAAAATGTTCCTCACATGTTCCATCCTGTGATGCTCCAGTATTTTACAGAGAAAAATGTAGGCTTGTTTCGGACCTTATTCCCAGTTTCTTCCATGGTCTGTGCCACATGCAATCAGCTGCATAAATGTCATCCCCTTCAGCTTGGGCTGAAAACTCTTCCCTGACAGTTTTTTTGCTCTTAGCGTCCTTGAGCCATCCCTCAGGTCTGACTGATATTCCTTTGACACCTGTTCACACCTGGTGTGATTCTAGGTACAGACTGTCTCAAAGGCTTTGGGTTACAATATTACATCTATTTTTTCTAAATTAATTGGAACATTTTAATCTCCTTCAAAAGGTACTAAAGCAAATCATGTTGGCACTGTGGTCTAGCATAAGCAACAATGGAAAGATTTGACTCCTGTGTTAGTTCGCTGTGCCCCACACAAACTGCATTTGGCACTCCGTGACATGCTGCACAGTTCTATAACTTAATGCTTGGGAAAAAAAGGGAGTAAAAATAATAGTAGATGTAGAAACATAAGTTAGGGAAAAATGCTATGAATTAGATATTTCTGTTTATTGAGGCAGTTGATCTTCTTATTTAAATATCTTTTCTGTTCTGTCTGTGGATCTTTGGTATGTGAATTAGATGCTGAATTTCTCATTTCTCATTTGACTTGCCTTGAATTATTTTAGAAGAGAGAGAATAAAAGCTTAAAAAATAGAATCAATTATTGAGTCCTTCTAAAATGCTCACCATGATTATGTTTAAATCTATAGCGAAGGCTGTTGAAATAAAGCTCTGTCCTTTATAAGTAAATAAGTTTAAACCTGATCTCCACACAGGTTCGTACTAATCTCTGTTTTCAAAATCCAAAAGAAGTTAGGAGGTGTTGGAAGCTAGTATTTTATGGAAGAATTAGCAGTTCCACAAAACATTCCACCTAAGAGAGGCTCTTTGAACAATTCATTTTGTAATCAGTTGTAACAGCAACCAGTTAATGTTACACTGCTGAAATGTATACTTGCCCTTCTATAAAGCAGTATTTCATTTGCATTTCAGTGCTATGAGTCTCAATAAATTTGAGAAGAGCCCAAGGGAAATTTTTCATCCTGAGATACAAAAGGTAGGACTTTTTTTGTTCGGTTTTTTTTCTTTATTATTTTCTGGAAATATAAGTAATTGGGTATAAATGCTACTAATTTGTTTCTTTCAGTGGCAGGATAATAATGAGTAGGATTATGTGATACTACTTAAACTGTCTTTATCAGTTGAACTGGCAACTTCAAATCAAAACTTAAATATATAAGGTTGTTAATTTTATTTGTGTTGTCTTTAATGCCAGTGGGCTAAACATTCTGTTTTTCTTTACAGGATTTATTGGTTCTTGAAGAGCAAGAGGTAAATATAAACTTACCTCTCCCAGCTCACAGACCTGTTCAATGAATACAGCTTTGTATTTGAAATATTTACACTGACATATTTGTAACAACTTAGTAATCAATTGCTAATTACAGTAAAAAATACGGGGTTTTTAACATATGAGATAAAAAATCATTTTAAGCACCAACTTAATATGTCACCAACTCAGATTATTAATTTTAAGCTATACCATAAAACTTTGAAGGTAAATTATTATGTATTAGGAGTTGGTGTAGAATGTGTATTCCCATGTATAGGACGTATACCAGGGTAGATATCTAAAAGTCCTTAGAGAAGACGTTTTTTAAGTCTTCTGTTTGCTTGTCTTTTTATCATACAATATTTGGGTTTATTTCTCAGGGATCTGTGAATTTTAAATTTGGAGTACTTTATGCTAAGGATGGTCAGCTAACAGATGATGAAATGTTCAGTAATGGTGAGTTTTTCACCTTTTTCTCAATTGTTTTATTCATCTGAATGAAAAAATGGAAAATAGTGCCTGCACATGGAAGACAGAAGGGAGGTGATTTTTATACATACAGCAGTTTTGTTGGTTTTCATGTTCATGTTGCGTAAAAAATTGTAGCCTAGAACCTTCTGTTTCTATAAAAGTTGCTGTAGGAATCCTATTATTACAACTTGGAAGATAGTGAAATTTCTTTTCTAGACTATGCAATGTAATATTTAGGGAAAAAAAAGCAGTTGAAGGAGGCAACTTGTTTACTCACTGTTTGTAGTTCTTTCACTCTTACGTTTTTGCAGCACGATCACTTCCTCTTGTTCACTTGAACAGCGTAGTCTTGATGTTACCAAAAGAGGTCACTTTTTAATGTCACATGATGATGCCTATTCTGCAAGGTTGGGTTGCTGTTTGTTTGGATGACGTAAGGAGAAACTAATTCAGCTGAAACTTGGGTCCTTGTGTCCTGGAAACAGTACCTATTTCTGTATTTTGATTATTTTTTTATATATGTTCTGTAACTATATGTTCTTATTTTTTCTTTTTTTTTTAACATTTATCTCTCCCACATGTAGAAACTGGAAGTGAAAACTTTCAAAGATTTTTGCATCTCTTGGGTGACACAATTACTTTGAAAGGCTGGACAGGCTACAGAGGAGGACTGGACACTAAAAGTAAGAACTCATCTGAAGCAATAAAGAGGGGGCACTATTGCATGTGCATATTGTACGTATTGTAGTCATAATACAATCCCAAAATGGACGTCCTCGTGTGCATGCTAAGTGCTCTGCTTCACCAGGAAGAAGTCTGGTCAACTTAAGTCACTGATACGGAGTGCAGTTAAAGGAAAGTATTTATATGACTTGTATTTTCAAGGTGAACAGTTTTGATTTTAGTTGGAATGAAGACTAACCTGACATGTTACTTGCTTCATGATGGTAGGACCTCATGGCTTGAAGAACTGTTTGATTTCAAGAGGGTAGGTGAAGGGCCATCATAGGTTTTAAGTGTGAATAGGCAGATTAATTGCAAACTTAGGTTTGGACTCACATAAAAAATGCAGTGTAGACATTTTCTAAAATGGATCAGAAAAAAGGGATAACTGAAGAAGATTTGGTAAAAGGACTTGAAATATCTTTTGTTCTTTTTAAAACTTAGAGGACATATTCCTGCTGAGAATGTTGTCTTCCTTTGCAGATGATACAACAGGAACGCGTTCCATCTATACAATTTTTCAAGGGCATGAAATTATGTTCCATGTTTCAACCATGCTACCATATTCCAGAGAGAACAAGCAGCAGGTACATGGTTCTCTTTATTTCCCCCTCCTCCTCCCCATTTATTTACTAAATCACAAACTCCAAAACTTTAGAAGAAATAAGGGATTTCTTACCTGTTAATATTTTATAAATGTAGGCTTAAAGACTTTTGCTATCTTTTTCTCAATATTATACCAAATGCTGAAAATTTCGTGATGTTTGTTAGAAATAATGCATCCTGTTATCTCTGTTAAGGTACAAAAGATACTTGTGAAGGTCAGAATTGCTTCACTGAGAAGTGATTGAGTATTTTGCTGTCCAGGCAATTTGAAGAGCTGCGCTGCCTCAATTATTACCTCAAAGAATTTAGGACAATTGAAAATTAGTCGTGTGTGTATCGTAGGAATATTTATGTGTAATACAAAACTCACAGTTGGGAAGCAATTAATGCAGCTTGAAAGAAATTCCCCTTGTGGGCATGTTAAGGAACTAAAACACTGCTGTCACATTCTCATAGGTTCACCAGGTGGATTCTTGGGTACTTGATCAAATGTGCTGTCATCCATTGCTCAAACCTTTCTTTGTATTATATGATGAAAAAATATTTTGTAATCGCATGCATTTACTATACATCATACATTCATAATGATTTGCCTAAAATTACTTGCAAATTATTCAGTTTACTATTTATTATGTATTATAATAATATACTTAGTTGACACCATTATGTTGTCCCTTTTTTATTTCTCTCAATTTTCGCATGCTTTTTCCTTGACCTAATAACAAAATAACAGAAGAAAAGAGAGGCCATTCAGGATACTTATTTTTAAAGAATAACTCAGCATCAAAGATTTTTTTCCTTTTATTTCAAGTGATAGATTTGCTTTTTTGGAATGCTAAGGGCTTCACACCCAATTTGTGAGTATTAATTATGTAAATTATAAAAAAGATGAGTGCTTTTCTAACTTAAAAAATAGGCAATATCTGCTCTTCTAGAACTTGCTTTCTTGTGTCCGCTGTGGCGCTGCTAGGTAGACTTGCTTATAGTAAAGTAATAACTTTGTATTTGCCTTAGTAATATTGACTGTAATTGTTTTGTTTGCAGTTTAGGAATATTGTTTTACCGTTCTCTCACGGAATTGTTAAGTTATTTATTTTTATATTTTAAGTCCTTGTGTCTGTCTCTCTTTCTTTCTTTTTCCTTTTTTTTCTTTTTTTTTTCCAGGTAGAAAGGAAGCGACATATTGGAAATGACATTGTCACTATAGTATTTCAGGAAGGTGAAGAGTCTTCTCCAGCATTCAAGCCATCCATGATTCGCTCTCATTTTACACGTATCTTTTTCCTTACATTTTCTAATTTTTTTTTAAAAGATCAATATTACTTTTAATTCCCTCATGCTGTTTATGGAGGCGAAAACTGTTTTAGAAAGACAGTTGCATTCTTGCATTCTTTACCTTCAGCTGCTTGACCAGGAGTCTCCAAATCTGCAACGTAAAACAAAGTTTGTGTTAAATCCCCTAGAAGATAAGGTAAAAGCAAGAATGTGATTTTTAAGTCATGTTTATATTATTGAAAGCATTCATTTGGATAATTTCACAAATTAAATTTTATGCCTTTTCATAAAATATAAATTCATAAATATATTTGCTATGTGAATTAGTTTGGCATTAAATTTTGGCATTTGAATGAATATTGCCTTTTAATGTTTAGATGCTGTTTATTTTACATATTTATGTATTTTAGATCAGTGTTCTCAAATCCTTCAGACCATTAACCGTATATTCTCCAGATTTTGTCAGCCTGTGGTTTTCAGACTCTCAGTTGAAAACATTGTGAAGACAATATGATTCCAAAACCAGCGGCCAATCACATGGGATTATCATGGAGTCACAATAGTAATCTGTAGACTAGTAATCTGTAGAATATGGCATTAGACCAGATGGAGTGAAACGAAGGAAAAATGGATGAAAAGAAGAAAACCCTTATTTCTATCTATGCTCTGTTGCTGAGTATTAAAAAGTTACCACAAAGCTTAAAGCTTCTAAACCTGGTCTCAGGCAGACTAACTGTTGTTAGAACCCTCTTGCTGGTTTCATCCATAGCTGATCCTAATTTTTAGATTTAAGCTCTTAATATTAACCTCTTTTACTCTGAATTAAAGAAGTGTCTAGAACAAAAAGGATTCCAGAATGAAAAAATAATAAAAACCTTTAGATATCATAGGAAACTAAATATGAAGAACAATTGTTTACCAAGTCAGTGTACCTCTTCATTAGTGTCAGCCTTAGTATAAAAGGAATAGTTTAATTGCTGTTTGGAGGGCTTGTCACAATGTCACTGATACAGCCTACTGTTCGATTTTGACAAATATTTTGAGGTTCAGCTGTTCTTGGTGCCATAATGAGATGTGTCCTAAATCCTCATTTTAAAGTAATCCACAGTTGGTTGATGGAGTCGTAGTACCATCCTGACATTTTCAGTTGGAGGAGTCAGAGATAAATGTGTCTGAAACTGGGGGTTGCCTCTGAGCTATATCAGATGTGATAAATCTTAAAGCTCACTGAATCTGTACTAACCCTTTGTACTCGCTTTCTTACGTACTATAGGACACCTTTTCTGTTACTTTTACAATGAGAAAAATTAGCGTAAAGATACCCCACTGTGCTGTCCTGTACAGTAGTGACAGCTGCCGTATGGAGCTTTGCCATGTGTTGTCTGTGGGGTAGGGCTGAGTTACAAAATAAAGGCATCAGCATGAATTCAGATGTCCCAGTGTGCTTGAAATGCCTGTACAGATCTGGCAGATACAACTCAGGACCTGTGGGAGATCTGTGCCTCTTTCGGAATAGTAGCTGGGGACTAGCCAGTGTACTCTCAAGCATCTTAAGTAGCATTGGATGCTTTCGTTGAAGTAAGGGAATCATGTTGTAAATCTTTTCTTACCAGACTCTGATGGTGCTGATCACAGTTATTGGCTAAGGTCTCTTCATTTTAACTGGAACAAACCCACAGAGCCAATGCTGTTATTCAAACTTATGCTTTCTTTGACACTTTATGAGGACTGAAAATTTAAGAGATGGTGTTAAGTAAACCTATCCAAGCAATATGCTTCTAACTGATTCCGTAAAAAAAAAAAAACTTGCAAGACAACCATAAGGACTTATCTGATGATGTTTTTCCTGGATTTGCCTGAACTTACGAATCAAGACTGGTAATACATTTTTGTGTACTTGCACTTCAAATAATTAGCTCCATTTTCTTATAATTCTGTTAGCTAAATTATTCCATTGGAATCTTTTTTTTCAGTTGAAGTTCTGGTATAAATGAAGTTTAGAATCAGTACTTTTTTATCAACGAAAAGAATTTCTAATCACAAATCTATCAAACACACATAGCCCACAGCATGTTTAATGCTGTATTTGTGGTGCTAGCTTGATTTTTAAAACTTGATCAAACCGTAAAATTCTGTATGGAATGTCCTTTATAAATAGCAAAATCTGTATAGTTTAGAATGTTTTATATATTTACATTGATTAATGTGTTTTACCTTTATTAAATCTGCTATGTAACTGCGGGAGAAGAAAAAGTGTATTAAAATACATGTGATCTTTATTAGAAGTGGGTTAACTTCCTTAACTGCGTGGCAGATATTTTTGCTTTAGTGAGATACAATAAGCAGAATGATAGTTACAGGTAGGTGCTGATTGTAACAAATAAATTCACGCTGAATTTCTGATGATTTAGAGAAAACGGGATAGCATTTTAGCAATAGGAGACTTCCTGGCATACAGAAGGTCAACCCGTCTGTATGCTGGAAGGCCAAATGAACTTAAGAAACTGAAGAGCAACATGGACCTCAATGCAGATGTCTCTAAACTGGCTATAAGTTGCATGTTTCTAAACATCAGGAAAATTAAATTCTGAAACAGGCATAAGCTAAGAGGGAAAACCAAAAGTATTCTTTAGATGAAATGTAACAAAATTATGAAAGACAGGCCTGGAACATTCTGACCTAGTGAGATCAATTACGTAGTGAACTACGTGTATGCTAGTTATTTAGATGTATGGAAGTTAGATGTATGTGATGTTGTGATAGTCATGAACTGCAAATTCTTACGGATCTCAGTTCAGCAGTAGCCGAGTAAACTAATTAACTGTTAGGGACCTTAACAGAGTATTTGTATCGTTGGATGCCACGTACTTTAAACCTACTGGAATTTTGCATATTACTATGTTTCTTCAGCATTCCATTAATCTAGCTCCAGAGAAGTATCCAACAGCATGGTACTTCAGTTTGCATTTGTGTTTTCCCCCCCTTCCATTTATAGCTTGGGTTTGTTTTGGAAATAACTGTAGCACAGTTAAGAAAAGGAATAGTTTTATTTTGTTCAAAGACCTTCTTAGCACCTTCTTGCAATTTTTTAAAAAATTGATTGTCCCCATAGCTTCTGCTTTTCAGCATTCCCAGGTTTGTGAGAGGCACAAAACATGTTCATGATTCCAGCTTGCAGTGACAGTGCAGATACTTCTTTTCTTTTTCTTCTTGTTTTGGGACAGAAACTTGGGCATACATCACTCATTACCCTTTAAGTTGAAGTGAATGTTGTCCTGATTGTAAGCTAATAGTCAGTAGATGGGCTAGCCATGGTAAAATGCTTTTTACTGTGCTGTTTATTTGAGGGGGAAATGAGTAGCAGTAATTAAGATAAATTTGCCTCTCTCTGAATACTGATTGCTTTTACTAGATCAGTCCATCTGATTTTAGTTACTTCATTTTGCTGGTCTTGATACATCTTACTGCAATACATATCACGCAGTATTTTTTCCCTATATGACAGGCATGATACATATATTTCAGCTTGGCCTAATTACATTTACTTCTGCTGTCCTTTCATCTTAGACCTGAATAGAACTCTTATTCCTTCTGTTATTTTTTTGTGCGTGAAGGTGGTCTTCCAAGTGGCCAAAATGTCAGTCAGAGGAGGGAGGGGATACTCTAGTGTCTTGAGACAAATCTTTCTTGTTTCAAATGCAATGTCACTGTGAGATCTGACACTGAATTTCTGCTTAAAATGCAGAATATTTTACTTCAGTCAAGAAGTCTATTTCTTTGGTTGGTTTTGCTGTGGCTTTCCCTGTCTTAATTTATTCCACTCAAGGAACATTTCACACCTTTTGTAGGGATAAATGATTATTTCTTTTACCCGGATCTAATAAAATAGACATAGAGCATCTATGAAACTGTGTCTCAAATATGTGAAACAAACATTAGAATGATGATCATTCATTGTGTTTCAAATTGTATGCAGTTTCTAAGTGTTCATGAAAAAAGACTGTATGAAACCCTTACAATCCATTAGACTCAATACCAGTCAATCATTGGTGTTTTTTTTGGGGAAACAAATTCTGACTGGTTTATGTAACAGTAAAGATGGGTTGAATCTATAATTTTACCAATTTTTTACCATTTTTAATTTTTATAATTAACTTGCTGTGGCTTGTGTCATCTGCACATGCCACTTGGAAGACCTTTGTCTGCAGACTGTCAATTGAAATAGCAAAAAATGATCACTTATCTTATAGAAACTATGCCTGCTGGACATATTTTGTACATGAGTTTTGTACCTAGCATTCATTTTTGCTATGCGGGATTCCTTATGGATCGCAAGAACTCAGCAGGTCCAGATGTCATAAGCCATTGTTACTCAGAAAGAATCGAACATTTCATGCTGTGGTGAATGCATAGGTAAGGTGGAAATCTGTAAAGAGAGCATGTCTTGTAGGCAAAGAACCTTTTTTGGGAAACGACTAGATTTTGCTAGTGCCACTAGAAGTTCTATGAGTAGAACTGCAATGTTCTGTTCTAATTCGTCATGTCCCAGTATTAGTTTGTGTAGAGGAAGCATAGTTTTGCTCTACTGAGTAACTTCAAGTGAATCTTTTTTGTTAGGTCTTTCAAAGTTCTTATGTAAGAAGACGTACCCAGATGACAGGTGATGACAGGTTCCATTTCTTCTGTTTCGAATAGCGTCTATAAAAAGGGTAGGGTTTGAATGTGACTCAATATACATAAAGATTTGTACTTCCAATAGGCTGAAAATATTTTCAGAAGAAAGTGTTCCTCTGTTTGGGCCTCCCCTTCCGTCCCCACCTGTGTTTACAAATCACCAGGAATTCAGGGATTTTGTGTTGGTGAAACGTAAGTTGGTTTGTACTTTGTTAGAAACACTTTTTTAATAAGTGCTTTAACAAATTGAAACTCACGATACTTAAAATGTAAACATATTCTGTTGTGTATGTTGCTGGTTTGTATGCAATTTCTTTTTTCAAATCGGTAACATAGGTGGGATGTCAGTTCCATCAAACTGTTCTAGTAAGATTAACAAAAAAATGAATTTCTCTGCCTCTTGGGCCACTAGGTACAAGCTGACTTTTACATTTGCAGAATGTGCAGCCATATTTAGCTTTGCATTTTCTTAAAGGATTTGGAGATCTGAAAGAATTTATAATGCTGTTCATAATTTAGTAATAGGAAGTGTTAGTATCTCTGAAAACCTGAAAATAGAAGCTTTTCTGAATATTTTCTTAAAGGTGCTGAAATGCACCTGTGCAGCACTTTTTAATTCTGTGAGGATTCAGTTCCAGTTTTCAGTGATCCTTATTTGCCCTTCTAAATCAGCGAGAAGGAAATCTTTGAGAACTGCTCATGATGATTAGAATTAGATGCTTACCTGACAGGAAGTTGACTGATAACTCATTTCATGTATTTAAATTGTTTAATACTTAAATTGATTATCAGTTAGGGATGCCCTGTGGAATTCTCCTATTACTGATTTTTCTCTTTTAAGCTTAAGGGATTGTTACTCACTAAAAACAAAACAAAACAAATGCAAACAGGAGGCAACTCTAAATTAATAAGGGCAAAATAGGTGTTTTGGTACAGAAGCAAACTAGAGTCAGTGGAAGTTGTCAAAGTTCATTTTGGTAATATATCTTTTTTTCCGTAATTTTTTAGTAATAAATGGGGAAAAAGCCACCTTGGAAACACCAACATTTTCTCAGAAACGTCAGCGCACTCTAGACATGCTGATCCGCTCTTTATACCAAGACATGATGCCTGATCTACACAAGGTAAATGTAAGTCAGAAGTTTCTGCATCCCCTCACATGTGCTCGCCTCACTAGTGGATTGACTGTTTTGATGCTTTAAAAGAGTGTCATCTCATCCTAATGAGCACTGAATTGCATACGACTAGGCTAAATATAAACTGTGATATAACTTATTTTACAGTTACTCGCAAGTTGGCAGAGAATCCTTTCTGGATAGGACTCTTTACCAGGTGTGAGGAGAAGCATAACAATGTCATACTTTGTGTAAGCTTACCCACAGCAAGGGAATAGGAAATTTAGGCACTGAAAATATTTTATGAATTAGTCTTGTCACCATAAAAACTGCATTTACTCATTCTGTTATGTGTCAGTTTGGATCATTTTTACTGTTAGATGAGATAGCTATTTTGGAGGATGAAGACTTCTCAATAAGGCAATTCCTAACTAACTAAAAAGAAGTTCAGTACTTCTAAAACTAACAAGGTGCTATTTTTTTTCCCCATTATTTCTCTTATCTAAATAGATCTGCCTAACCTTTTTTTTTCCATATATTTATGTCATATATTCATGTGGTATGATTGCACAGAACATGACAGTGGTAAACTATGACAAGTTGGAAGGTAAAGCACTCAAGGATTGGGAGAGTTGAAATTTCTCCTCTCTGAGAAGCTATACAGTTAGATTCATTACTACAGGAAAGTATGTAAAACCAGAAAATTTAAATGATGTCACATTAAGTTACTTCAGATGAAAAGATTTTGAAAACCTTTCAGGTTTATTTTTTTAACCAGAATTTTCTGTTTTAGAACATGCTCAATAGAAGGTCCTTCAGTGATGTGTTACCAGAGTCCCCAAAATCAACACGGAAGAAAGAGGAAGCTCGACAAGCAGAGTTTGTTCGGCTCGGTCAGGTAGGGTCAGTTTAGAAGGTATGCAGGTAGGGTTACAAAGACTGTGTCACCCCTTTTGTTAGAATTTGATTAGCTTGCAGTTATGTCAGGACTTCATGGAGTTTTCTGTGATCAGAAATAGTTTTCTAGTATTGCATTTTTTTAAGCTTCATTAACATAAAATATGAATAGAAGTATTTATCTGTAACACCTAAGGTACACAACACAAGTACAAATACTTATATAGTACCTAAGCTAAATGAAGTTTGGAAAAATCAAACCTTAGAATCAAACATAGAAGGTCTTTCCCTGCTTTATGCAGCAGATGCATTCTGCCTCCAAGCAGAAGAGTGCTCTCTCTTTTTCCGTGTTTTGGAAAAACATAAACTTTCATGGATTTCTTCCATGTGTTTTACTAAAATTGAATTTCGTAGAAAATACTTAGCCTACTGTAGTCAGGAAGAAGTTTCAACAATCTTTCTGCTAAATCAGAGGTTGCTGCACATCTTTGAACATACCAGATGCTAACTCCGATCTTCTATGGGCTTATTAATATCTTGATTCAGTGAGGAGTAAAACTTCCAGATGATTAAGATAGTCTGCTTTGATCTGACAGTTCATTTTAGCAAAAAAGTCAATAGTGTCTATGCTTCCCCTGTCCTTTCTCACTTGTTTCTTCTTGATTCTGGACTGGTGTCATGGTTCTGCAGCTTATCTTAAGAATATCTCTTTCTGAGCTGATTTAACTCAGCAGGAGTTAACAGACCAGGAAACCAAAACAAACAAACAAAAGAAACAAAACAAAAATTCACGCTTACCAACAAACCCCAAGTCTCCTCTCTTCCCTTCCTTTTTTTTTTTTTTTTTTTTTAATTGTAGTAATCTAAGGAATAGATACGATAGATTCCGAGAAGTTCTGGTTAAAGGAAGAGAATGATACCAGGTGGTTGAGAGCTGGTTCAAAAAAATCTTGGGGCTATTAAAGATTGCACTGACAAGAACTGCAAAGGCTACTCATCTGTGCTTTGCCCACCCTTTCCCCCATCACCTTGAAATAACTAGACACTTTAGGCAGGTTAAAAAAAAAAAAAAAAAAAAAAAAAAAAAAAAAAAAAAAAAAAAAAAAAAAAAAAAAAAAAAAAAAAAAAAAAAAAAAAAAAAAAAAAAAAAAAAAAAAAAAAAAGCGATTGTAATACTGAGACAGAAGTAACTAATGATTTATTCCCTAAGTTTACTTTACATAAGTTGAAGAAAAACAAGATTATTAAAAGTATAGAAACCTATAGCTTGAGCCCCTTCCACCTCCCACAAGTTAAACGCTGATAAGATACTCATGTAACAAATCTAGTTGGGACTCATTTCTTAAGCAAGACTCCATCCTTAACATGATCTTCACTGAAGGAAAATCCAGTATGTGGGCTAAAAATTCGTAGATAGCTGATTGTGTTTTTCTTGGAGCTTCTTTTCACATCAAAATCTTTCCCTTGTCTGAAATATCTTTCCTCTAAGTTACAAACTATAGGCTTGAACACATTTTAAAGTGCCTTCCAAGTAGCTGTTAATCATTCTTGCCAAACTATGAATGTATTTCTCCTTTAGTTGTTGGTGTTAGCTGTTTAGTTAGTTGAGTTTTTAGATGGTAAACAAAACTCATTGATGACTGATTCAGCAGTATATTTAAATCATTTATTTATTGTCAAAGTGGTCTCTTCTGACTGGTGAGATGGAATTAAAGTGTTCATACAGTGAAGTCTTTTGTGTATCTCTGTAAGCTGACAGCCATGTTTAATGCAAATGTGCAAATGGTACATGCGGCCGATTACTGCCACTTCATAGAGACTATGCATGATTGTTGGCAAATTTTGGGGCAATAAAATTGGGTTTATATTAGTTCTGAGCTTTGCATTCAGGAATGCCGTGACAATTCCATGTGTCACCGATTTATAGGAATACATCTGTAAAAGTTAGCAATGAAGGTATGTAAGATACCTTAAAGAGACTTATTGTGCAACTCACTGAAACTAAGTATGTATGATATTACTCTGGAGATCTTGACTCTTTCAAAATTACGTCTCTTCTAGTTGAAGAATTTGTTATCCTGTGACTGTGTGTCATTGGGGTACCTAGCAATACATAGATAGTTTTTGACTTAGTGTTTGGAAGTTTTGTAAGTAAAAAGCTAGTTTGTGTAACCGATAAAAGAATCCTCTGTAATCCATCTAGATTACAGAGTAAATTGTGTAGATGTTTAGCTTGTATTGTTTGAGGTGGAGGTTTTTCTCTGTTATTATGTTTGAATCTTCTTTTCTGATTTTGAGTTTCCATTTAGAAAGCAAACAAACAAAAAACCTAAAAAACCCAGCCAATATATGTTTAGGCTGAGAAAATATATAGTAACCATCTAGTGATTCATGTAGACTTTGTTAAGTGTACAAAATTCTACTTCTTTTCTAATAAGTGGTATAGGAATTTCGAACTGGAGTTACTTTGTTGTCCTAAATTGCCCTTTTTATATAGTCATTAGCTTCGGTATTGCTGACAAAAACTCAGTTTAAATAAAACATCTGTTTGTATTAGGCATTGAAATTGAAAACCACTGTGAAAGGGGATACCACAGCTAACTTGGCAACCACAAGCTTTTGTAAAAAGGAGGTGAGTGAAACTGTCTGTCTGAGAAAACTTATGAAAAATTAAAAATTATCTAGTATGGCATGTGTTTATTCTGTAATTACATGCTGCAGCAGAAAAGGTGAAATGTATAGTAGCAAAGTGATTCCGCAGTCACTATCAGATTAATAAAGGATGAGCCTGGGGCAGAAGCACTTCTCAAGTTAAAGCATGGACATTTTTATATCTGAGAAAATTTGATGAAAGTGCCATTTTCCAAATGCAATCATCTTTTATTTTAACTTCAACAAGTTTAGAAAAAAATTTAGTTGTGTTTTCATTCTGTGTAGTACTAGATTTTGTTTGAGATCATAAGGGAGTGAAATATGCAAACTACAGTCTTCTGCATGCATTTTATATACAGAAGCTTCAGAACAGCATCTAAAATTTCAGATACTAGCTAGTATATAAACTGGGAGAGGAGGAGCGGACTGGGAGGTAAATACAGAGAAGAACACAGGATGAAAGAACAATTCAGTAGAAAGGCAGTTTTAACTATACCACATACTAGTGACTAAACATCACAAACTGAACCATAAAATGTAACCAAATTGCGTATACATGGTAGTACGTATGTTTTAAGTCTACCAGTCTGGGTTTTTTAAAGTAAAGTGCATATGGAGTATTTCCAGGGTTGCACTGAGTGTCAGCTGCATGTGTTTCCAGTGTTTCAGGAATGTGTCTTATATTTACTAGTCTCCATGCCAGAATTAATGCAGAATTTCCTCTGCCAGAAAATTAACACAGTTTTGATATTTCAAAAAATGTACTGTTTGGAAATGTATCCTGCCAAAAGCATTTACATGTTAATATTTGCCATTGTCCATCACATTCTGTGTCTGTATGATCTGTATTTCTTAGTGTACTTAATTTGTATCCCTTATGTTGCTTCATAGCCTTGGGAATCTCAATCTTTCTGCAGTAATTTTCCTCATGAGGTTGTCTGTGCAGATTCTTGGGGCCAGTCCTTGCTGGTTTCTACAGATGCTGGCATCTTGTTAATAGATGGTTAGTAAATGATCCGGTGTTTTTGTGTCAATTTTTATGTATCTGACCATTTTCTTGAAAATGTGTGTTTGTAAGGTGTGTTCAGTTGTTGGTAGGTCTTTACTAACTTGGGGTAGTTACTAATCCAAGTGAATTTACTGCATTTATGTAACCTAGCCGCCAAAATTCTCTCCGCACTGGAATCAAACCATATTGGGGAGTGAACGTTAATGCAGATTTCTGAATGTTTTCTTATTTCAGATGTTGTTTTCTTGATCGTCTGAAAAGGCTTAAGAGGTCACATCCAGGCTCAGGGAGTGGCTAAATGGCTTGTCTGATTTCTTATCCCTTCATGATAGTGAGCATGAAGCCAAGGGCTTACATGACAGTGAAAGCCTGCCTCTTCCTTTAGCATTTATATTACTGTTTGATCCCTTATCTTCTGTGTGCCAGATAAGGCCAGCAGGACTGAGGGAATGCAGTTAGTTCTTGGTCATAGTTCTTAAACTTTCCAAAGGAAAGTTCCTTTTAGGTTTCAGTTGCATAATCTGATCCGTGGCAATCATAAAACTCTCCTGTGAGGAAGTATTGACTATGATGCTGTGGTATATGTAGCAGCTTTGTGCAGGTTTGTTTTTTTTTATTTTTCCTCTCTCCATTTTTTTAAGAAAAAAAACAGGTTTTTATTAAAAGAAAGAAAGGGTTCGAAACTAGTGACTACCAAAGTTAAGCAGGATTTTGAATACATATGTGTGTTTCTTTTTTAGATGGTCAACCGTTAGTGCAAGTATTTGATAAAACTCTCCAAATAAAGCAGATGCACGTGTTGGAAGCTCTGGATCTTTTGATTGCCCGAACAGACAAAGGTAGGAGACGTCCCTGTTCTTTGATTCCTGTATGAATCTGGCTGTGGCTTGGTATGTGTGTCTCGTGAGGCAATTGTGTCTATCAGCATTGGTATATTAGATGCTTTATTTAGAATGAAGGAGCACATACAGAAACTACTGTTACTTTCTGAGAGGCTGGGAAGGAGTTGGAGGTGGAAATACCTAAATGCTCGTTCGTGCTTCTTTCAAGGCAAGCCTGAAACTGGTCATACTGTCTGTTTATGGTCACCATTAGAACTCAACATTTTTTGCAAATATCTGTGACTGAATTATATATTCATTCAGTTGCACAAAAACATGGGGGTAATTACTTATGCTGTCACTATTTTACAAAATGTGTTTCATTATGCTGTTAAATGTTACCGCACCCTAGAGCTATAGAATGTATTTTCTCGAAGCTTCTGGTATAAAACAACTTAAAGCATTATGCTTTGTTTATATTTGCTCTGTTTATGAGATGCTGCTGCTCTTTTGAAGTATTAATTTCAAACTGCCACTTTTTTTAACTTGTTGTTTCCTGGTTCTCTTCCTATGTCAGGGAAAGACTCTCGTCTCCTTGTCTTCAGACTCAGTGCTGTCCAAAAAGATATAGAGACAAAGCAAATTATAAGAAGCAAATACGACTGCAGAGAAAATAAACTAGAGAGAACAAAAGGTGACATTATTTCCACTGTAGTATGGTGCTGGTAGTTGCCAGGGGCTTTTTAGCTCCCTTGAGGCAGTTGTAGGTGTTCACTTTAGTGTTTTCTCTTGACAGTTAATTCAAGCTTTCTTAAGCTTATACTTGAAAACTAGTCTGGTATAGTTCAGCACAACATATTAGAGTGTTGTAAAAGTGTCATATTGACAATTGCTGCTACTGAAAAGCGTTAGAGAAAAATAGGATTTCAGGATTGGGAGGTATGAGAAGAACTTTGCAGAGATTTAAACTGAAATAAAGCACACTTTAAATTCAAGGAACACTGGCAGACCTCCATTAAATAGCAGTTCTTACATTAGTCTGGGTGTTGCTGATTATTTTAGTAGACATAAACATTTTCTGGTCTTCAGAAGCAAGCTGCTTTGTAAAGCTGGAACCTGCAGGATAGTGAAAATCCATGTATTTAGGAATAAAGGTAAAACGGATTTCAAAGGAGTCATAGGCTTTTGTCTTTTTCTAGAAGTTGATGTTATCCTATTGCAAGGGGTTAATTCTGTCTTGCTAGGACATGCATCAGAACCCTGTTGTACTAATCATCATACAGATACAAACCAAAAAAAACCAGACCCTACCCCAACCACTTACAGTCTAGAACATTATTTCCTCAGGCTGCCATTTGTATGCCATAAATACTCACCATGGAAGTGAATTGAGGATTGTTGTGGCTATTCGAAACAAACTACTTCTTGTCACAAAGAAATATAATCCACACAGCAGTTTAACCAGCAACTCTGTGCTCTCATCGCCTGAATCTCCTGTAGAAGAGTTCCAGTACATCCGGGTATGTGTAATCTAATTACTAATTACTTTAACAGACTGAGCAGCACTCAGCTAGTGCGGGGATTGTGGGAAAGGCAAAGAATGTGCATTATCATCACCCCAAACCTCCAGACAAATAAAAGTGAGATGCCGTATGATGGAGTTTGATCATATATATGACAAAGAAATCTTTCAGATTTTTTAGAAATTAGATTTCAGGTTGTTCTTTGTCATGTTGCTGCACTCAGAGCACATCCCTTTAAAATCATGGAATACCTGCAGCACCCACAGTAGGATCTTGAAAAAGAGAGTAATTCTATTATTTACGTTGTAGGAAATATGCCTTTCTGACCCCCCAGTGGTTATGACACTGGTGGATGGACCTACTGGAGACAGTGACAATATGATCTGTGTAGCGTATCGTCACCAGTTTGATTTAGTCAATGAGAGCACGGGGGAGTCCTACAGATTGCATCACGTTGAAACAAACAAGGTAACTTTACATCATTGAAACTACGTTTTTGCAGAGCCCCACCGAACATAATTTCTTGCAGACTCAGTGCATCCTGTGCTGACCTCCTGGGAGTGTAATTTATAGAGATCTTCACGTCTGTTACTTTTCACTTCTGTAATGCTGCTTTGTGGCACCCAGAGATATTTTTTCTTTTTGGGATATGTGATAATAAGAACTCCCAAGAGAGATAATTATAAGATATGATATGTGTAGTGGGTTGACCTTGACTGAATGCCAGGTGCCCACCAAGCCTCAGGAAAGAGACTGTGTTTCAGCCTCTGGAATATTGTTACCACCATAAATTCATTCTTCTCCTTTCTCAGTCAACAGTTTGGTTTTCGCTTTATCTTTGTGGTATCAAAGTTTTGTTGTTCATGAAATTGAATGAAAATAACTTCAGTTGTTGGCCACCAGTTTCTCTTTGAGATTTGCCTATTTACATGAACTATGGCTAAGATTTTTACACATAGCTTATATTTCTATTTAAGAAACTGCTGCCCAGTCATATAATAACTGAATCTTTCTATTCTGGACATTAGAATTAATAACAAAAGAGTCTGCATTTAGAACATGTTTATCTATTTATTTACTTATTTCCTTCTTTTTTTTTTTTTTTTTTTTTTTTTTTTTTTTTTTTTTTTTTTTTTTTTTTTTTTTTTTTTTTTTTTTTTTTTTTTTTTTTTTTTTTTTTTTTTTTTATCCTCCAACTGATTGTATTGCTTGTTAGTCAAAACTCTATTGGAATAATCACAGTATCCTCTGCCGGCTCATAACCTTTTCCATTATCATTGCAGGTTAATTTTGTTGCAGCTATTGATGTATATGAAGATGGTGAAGCTGGTCTACTGTTGTGTTATAACTGTAAGTGCTAAGGGAAGGATAAAAATGGTAGTAGCGCGATCTGCACATATAATTATTTTTCGCTGGAGTCTAGGTCTGTGTTTTAAAATAAATTTTACCATTTCATGAAAAGTTTGTCAAATATATTCTTTTGAACTTAAATGCATATTGGAGAGACTAGAAATTCAAGTATTATTTTAGACATACTAGTTGTTTTATAGATGTGCGTCTCTGTAGATGCTGCCATGTTAAAAAAGTCCTGTTTTTTCAGATCTGGCTCATTCTTTAGGTAGTTACACAGTTACTAGGTGTCTTCAAGACATGTCCAATTTAGCATTTCATCCCTTTTTCCTTGTGTGATGTCCCATTCTGTCACTGTGTTTTTTCTTCTGCCTACTTCTTAGCACTATTGCATTATTTCACTGTAATTCTCTCAATCTCCTTTTATAAAATGGTCTTGGATATAGAATCATAGAATGTTAAGGGGTTGGAATGGACCTTAAAAATCATCTAGTCCCAACCCTCCCTGCCATGTGCACAGATACCTCCCACTAGAAGAAGTCGCTCAAGGCCTTATCCAGCCTGGCTTTGCACACTGCCAGAGTTGGGGCATCCACAACCTCTCTGGACAACATGTTCTAGAGTCTAAACATTCTCATAATAAAATATTTCTTCCTAATATCTAACATAAATTTCCCCACTTTCACTTTGTACCCATTACTCCTTGTCCTGTCGCTACACTTCCTGATAAAAGAGTCCCACTCTGGTTCCTTGGAGGCCCCTTCAGATACTGCAGGGTTGCTATGAGGTCTCCACACAACCTTCTCGTCTCCAGACTGAATGGCCCCAACTCTCTCAGCCTGTCCCCATGGGGGAGGTGCTGCAGTCCTCCTGTCAGCTTCGTGGCCTCCTCTGGACTTGGCCCAACAGTTCCATGTCCTTCTTCTGTTGGGAACACCAGAATTATACACAGGAGTCCAGGTGGGGTCTCCCAAGAGCAGAGGGGGAGAATCCCTCTTCTTGACCCACTGCCCACGCTCCTTTGCATGCAGCCCGGGATTCCATTAGTTTCTGGGCTGGGAGCACTCACTGCTGGCTCATGTTGAGTTTTTCATCAGCCGTCATCCCTAAGTCCTTCTCCCAGGGTTGCTCTCAATCCCTTCAACGCCCACCCTGTAGGTGTGTCCGGTGTAGGATCTTGTGCTTTGTTTTGTTGAATTTCATGAGGTTTGCGCAGTCCCGCCTCTCAGGGCTGTCAAATTCCCTCCGGATCCATCTCTTGCCTTCGGTGTGTTGACAGCGCCACACAGATCGGTGTCGTCAGCAAACTTATTGAGTGCCTTGATCCCACTGTCCCTGTCACTGATAAAACTGTTGAACAGTATCAGCCCCAGTACTGATCTGTGAACGATGCCACTCGTCACTGATCTCCATGTGGACCATGAGCCATTGACCACAACTCTTTGTGTGTGGTTGTCCAGTCAGTTCTTTATCCACCAAGTGTTCCATCCACCAAATCCATCTGTCTCCAATTTGGAGACGATTATGTCATGCAAGACAGTGTCAAATGCTTTGCGTTTGACAGGTAGACCATGTCAGTTGCTCTGCCCTATCCGCCAATGCTGTAGGCCCGTCACAGAATGCCACCAGATTTATCTGGCATGATTTCCCCTTTGTAAAGCTGTTACCAGTCAATATATAAAATGCACATATACTCTTCTCTGCAGTACACAGGTAATTCTGATCCTCATGAAAGTAGAAGCACTTGGCATGAAACAGCCTATGTGAGGCAATGCTGAAGGCATGGCTTTCTCCGTAGCAGAAGACATGTCCTGTTTGCCTCTCCAGAGTGAACATCAATGGAGGCAGGATAAACATGCCTGTGTTCTGGCACTGGCTATCAAATTGTTACCATGGAATGAGTTGTAAATGTCTCTAAACTCTGTGAGGCCCTATTGGTACTGGTTGCTTGCCATGTCCTACCTGGTTCTGGTTCTCTTAGCACTGCTTCAGAATTAAAAAGCTGTCTGACCAGAGCACAGTAAATTCCCTATATTTCTTTTTGGGATAGAACTGTTGCTTAGCCAAAGCTAACAAACTTAGCTGATCTGAAAGTTATAATAAAGGTGTTGCATGCGCTTACAGCAACTTGAATTCCTATTTCTAGGATGGTGTCTCAGGGAAACCTACATTTGTTCTTTAGAGAATTTTAGGATTCTGAAAGAATCATTATAGAACTAATATGAAAACACAGAATTTGGCAGTGTCCAAAGTTTGAATTAAGAAAAAACATGTAATATGTTAATGGATGTAAACTTTGATTCAGTGTAAGGACATCACTTACAGGGGGAAAAAAACCCATTTTGCCTAAAAAGTATAAAAGAGCTGTAAGCAGCACATGTTTGACAGGATCATAGTTGTTTAGCTGGAGCCCCTGGTACACACATAGGAGCTTGTCAAGAAAAAAATACGATCACAATTGCTTCTTGTCTCTAAGCTTTCTTATTGTTTGCTGATACGACTTCTCAAGTCCTGTATTTTAATAGATGCTTGATTAGCACTAGTGCATGTGTTTAAAAAAAATTCTGTTAGTACTGGTAGGTTCCCCTTTATCTAGTTCTGTCTGTTAACAATTCAGAATTACATGCTTGATTATGTATAAAATGACCACACTTCTGCAAAATCTCCCTATAAAATTGGTGTTTGTCACTTACACTGTAAGGTTATTGATGTTGATTTTTTCTATTTTGTTACAGATGTTTGCCAATACAGGAAGGTATATCCTTTCAGTGGAGGTTCTCCTCTGATCCAGCCATCAGCTTATGACTTCCACTTCAGCTGGAATCAAGTTCCTTATGCTGTTGGTAAGAAAATATCTCTTTTTACTAGATGGTTGTTTTTTTCATTACCATTATAGCTCGCACTTGGTTCTTAATTGAATTACCATGTTCTAGGAACACTTCATTACTTTGTTACATTCATGATGCCACTTGAGCTTAGTTTCTGCATATGATAATTATAGAAAATGTAGTCTTGGTGCCAAGTTCTTCCTCTGCTGAACTCTTTCTTCTGCTTTTCATTTTCCATTCAGTCTACGTTCTGCCAGGCACGGAGAGAGAAGTTTTCTTCAGGATTGATGTAGCTCCATGTCCATCCAGTTAGACAAACTTTTCATAGGAAAGGGAGATTCCAGAAGAGGTCAAGAACAGTTTTCATGGAGCATCCAGGAAACTTTCACATTAACCACTTTTCCTTGCCAAATAACTTTTGTTTCGTTGCAGTCTGTGCTTTCCCTTATATCCTTGCTTTCACTACTGATTCCATTGAGATCCGATTAGTGGTGAATGGGAACTTAGTCCACACAGCAGTTGTGCCTGAGCTTCAACTTGTAGCATCGAGGGTAAGACACAGTAAAATCGTATTTGATGATTTCTGTGATATAATTTGTATCTAATTCACATAGAAGTTGCTGCAGCTAAAAAGCTAACAAGGCAAAACTGAAATATGGACTACTTGATCTATGGTAACTGTTCATGTTTGCTTTTAGTTTATATCAAAGAGAATCAGGATTGATCATGCTGTCCTTTATTGGTTGCAGTTATACAGTTCTAAGATACTTGGCTGTTTATGGGGCAAATGCTCTGCTCGACATTACATATGTTCCCTCCACTTACAGTGATAACCTTTCTATGACCAACTCTTGTTGACTAAGCAGCAATACAGAAATAGTGACAGTAGAACATAGTGGACAAACTTACTCAGAAGATGGTTAAGAATGTCTCACTCTACTAAAGACGAGTTATTTGTCATTTCAGTCAGACATTTATTTTCAAGCAACTGCTGCAGTTAGTGGATCATCAGACAGCAGCTCTAAGGAAATTAGTTCAAAGAGTTCTGCTCAAACACCGACAGCTTACGAAAAGCCAGAATGTCCTCTTTCTTCTCTAGAAGGTAACGTGGCAGCTTGAATAATGGTCTCTAATCATTCCAATAGCTATCACATCTCAGTGAAGCTGATCTTTAGTAAGGATGGTAAAAGATCTTGAGTTCCTAGCTGAGAGTCTGGAGGATAAGAGATTTTCTATTTAGTGACAGATATGAATCACCTGGCTGAGTTTTTGCCCGGTACTATCTTTTCTAAATACATGGTAGCACTGTTCTGAAGAAACAATTTCTGTGGGAAGGGAGGAATTAAGCTTCAGTAGCTTGATGCATCTTTGGTAGTACAGCCATGACTAATAACGCAAAAAGAGGCATAAAATTGTGGGAATACTTGAGATTTCGCGTACACTGTTCCTTTCATTTAAGAAAAGCTAAACTACCACTGGATGGCTAAAATTCTTTTGTGAACCAAAAGTAAGTTCTAGCCTTGAAAAAGTTTGCACAGTCAATTTAGTGTAACATGATCTGTGAACAATCAATTTCTAGTGTAACAATAATGGAGAAACAAGGGAACATTAACTAGATAATGCAAGATGTGTGTATACCTTTCTTCTTTAACTCTGTTGGTGCACTGTTAGCAGAAAGGGGAAGGAGAAGATAATCACAATTTCAGTTTTTTAAAGGCAGTTTGGTTTTTTTCTAGGAATTAGGAAAACATGGTATTTTGTGCCACCTAAGAGGAGGTGTCATAATTTAAACTACTTGAGATCCAGGCTCCAATATATTTGCAGTATTTTAAAATACATAGGGAGTATTGCAGAGTGCAGAGTCATGTTGTAATAGTCAAAGTATCAGCCTCGTGTTGTAATTATTTACTTCCTGGATCCGCTGCTCATTCTTCATGCCACCAAGAGTCAGTCTTATTTTTCTCTCTATTTCTTCCTCCTTATTTTTATTGAAATACTTATATGGAAAAATCTCCAGAGCAATAAAGATCTTTGTCATTTAGGCTAAAAAGTGCCCGGCTGAACAAGTATAACTTTTCTTTATAACTTTTCATTTCAGTGTTAAGAACTGAATCTGTTGCAAAAGTGTGACGTTCTTCTTTCTTTCTGTATTTCAGGTGAAGTTCCATGCAGAAACCTGTACAAAATTCCTCTCAGCAATCTGGTTGGGCGAAGCATTGAACGACCTCTGAAGTCACCTTTGGCTCCCAAGGTCATTGCTACTACAACATCCGGTGGCATTGCCTCACTTCCAGTTACACACTCACTGTCCTTATCTCGTATGGAAATTAAAGAAATTGCAAGCAGAACACGTAAAGAATTGCTGGGTAAACTCTCCTTGTTCTTCAGCATACATATCAGTTGCTAATTACATACTTTCTAGTCTTTGGCCATCACAGTTAGATTTGTAACGTGCAGCTAGTATTCATAAATTATTAAAATAAACAACAAAATGAAACTGTGAGGAAACATTATTTGTAAATAGTACAGCCATTGTCTGATCATGTATAAGATGACCATATTCTAAGCCAGGTAGAAATAGTTAATAATGAAAACCAGCAACAGATACCTTAACATTTTCATGAATGCTTTATTTTCTGTTGAGAGTTTTAAGTCTTTTATTCCTTTATTGAGGCCTTTTGGATGAGCCTATAACCAAGACAGAAAGTGCACAGAAGCAAAAAAAGGTTCCTCGAAGACCGTCAGACCCCAAGCAAGGAGCAGTAAGATCGACTAGTAGTGACAGGTAAATATACTGGCTTTAGAAAAGAGACTAAGTTAAACTGTAAATATTTTCAGAATTGATTGCTTATGCTTATCTCGGTTGGGGCTAAGACCATATGCATTTCATGCCAATATGTTTGTTAGAGTATCTTAATACTGCAAGTACTGATCTGATTATAATTTTGGGCTTATGACACGTTGATAAGCAAAGCAAGACTAAATGGGATTTTGTGGGGGCCTGCTGCAATTGAGCCTGTAATTAAGATTTGGACTACTGAGTCTGCACTCTGCAGACTCTCTTGCTGTTTCCTTCTTATGCTCCTGTGTTGCTATTTGCAGAATAAATTTTGTGAAGAAACAGCATAGCATTTGTCAGTTCGGCACTGGCCCCACTGCCATTTTCTTGTTTTCACTGTTTTCATAACCTGTGTTTGTCTAGAGTACTGGCAGAATTCAGCCAAGATACAGGAGACTGAGATTAACAAAACAAACAAAAAATCTGCTGCAGTGTAAAACCATGTTTGGTTTAGTTCTCTGTTTGGAAATTTGTTGGGCGAGGGGCTTCATGAATACTACCTTTTGATTATTTTCAGTAGAGTAAAACAGGAGAAAACTCAGTCGCGGTGGTCTGTATCTGTTTTTAGGATAACTTGATTGAGTCTAGAAATAGCCATTGTTCCTTCTTGCCTCGAACTGTGTATTTATTTTAGTAACTTTTGTCTTCGTCTTTGCAGGATAATCTCAAGCTCTTTTGAAAGCTATTCTGAAAGACGTCATCTTTCCACTAGTTCAGATCCTGATACTTTAGCAAACAGGGAGGGGAGCTCACCACCTAACTATCCATTTCAGCTGATTTCTTTATATGATGAAGACATCATTGATTTGAAATGAAGACTGTTTTAAAACCTTTCTTCCTTACTTCACATTTTCTTACAACTCTGTGAGCTCTATGGGAATGTCACAAACACTGCTTCTGGTGGTAAAATGTGGCCGGAAGTACTGGTGATAAATCTTTATAGAACCCATGTTGTTCTGGCTAGCGCAGCCTGATTTGGTGATGCTTATATCTTTGACATAGGTATGTTTTCTCAGTTAACAAACCATTACTTTTTGTGGCATTCTAACAAGTAGGTAATCAATGATAGATTTAGGTTGAAACTGAAGTAAACAAAAAGTATTACTTGTTCTAAGCTTTTTATAATTTGAAGTACCTGAATGACATACAGCAAAGTTAATTGCTGTTGTTACTATCATGAATTGTTTTACAACAGCGTATGCCATGTGAAAAGAGGAATTTTATAATATAAATCAATGCTTTTGGTTTTTCAGTCTTAAACAAAACAACAACAAAAAAAAGAGGCTTGCAGGCAAGGTCATTTCAAACAGTGCAGTCAGTCTTTGAAATGATGCAGCTCTGGTATGTTCACTGAATAATCAGGTAAGATATGAAGATACTGCTTTCTTTGCTTTGGCTGTCCATGCACATTGTTTAGAGAAACCTGAAAACTGTTTTGGCATTAAGAATCCTTGAGAGAAAGTTTTTATAGAAAACACAAGCTTTCAAAATATTTCTTAAGAATTGGAATAAAAAACCCCTAAAAAACCCACAAACCAACCAACCAACCAACCAACCAAAAAAAACCAAACCAAAACCCCAATCCATTTACTGGAGAACTTTTATTGTAGTGCATCTGCAGATTTTTCCATTACAGACAGAAGAGCCAACCCTGATTGTTTTGACTACACAAAGATTCCTATGCAGGCTGATGTCTGCACTAGCACCAACAGTATGTGTCATTGTTCCAGATAGTTGTATTTTTCTAACTGGATGCAGACTGAAATTTCACTCATAATAAGCTAGTTTTCTATGATGAAATAGTCATCTTGGCTTTGTATGTTTTATATTGGTTTTATATTGAAAGCTTGATTTTTATTTTTTTTTTTAACACTTCCCTCCGGAACCCCTTTGCAGGGGGTTTGTTTTGTTTGGTTTTGGATTCTTTTGTGAAAGCATGATGCTTCCAGCCTTTTTATATATGAAGTTTTTTGCTTTATTAACAAGTATTTCTTGTTATTTTTGTAGAAATACCCCCGTATTCTTGATTTTATTTCATAGTACCATTCATATGTCATGATTTCACTTTTTGTTCAAGTATTATCACCTGGAGATGTGTGCCTTTTTCTGCCATCTGTCTGAATGTAAAACTGGTTTTGCAAAGTACTTTTTTCTCAGTTTATTGTATATAATGGCTGAATTGCTCCACCTAAGAAAATACGCAAGGCCTTATCCGGAAGCATCATTTCTTACTCTCAACTGGAGTGGATAATCAAGAGAAGAAGCAGTATTTTCAACAGTAATTAGTCTAGGAGCTAAAGGCTATTATTACTTTAGTGGGTTTTGCACTCAGAGATGTGTGGGGTGAGCCTTAATAAGCGTCTAAAAGGAAGTACCAGATCAAGGTCTTTGCAAGAGCTTGTAATTCTTTTTTGAGAATGTTATTTCCAGAGACTGTGTTAATTTAGCCTATCCTTATTTATGTGGGCAGCTAAGGTTTAAAAAACCAATCTGAAAGTATCACGTGATGCTTATTTTCCTGGAAGTTGTAAACACTTCTGTACTCAATCCACTTCCAGGGACACCACTGGTGTCCCTGGAGTATTTTTAGAAAGCAAAAGAACCACGTTTTTCCAATAAGATTTATCAATGCAGTATTTAATTTCTGTTATGTGGGTGTTTTTGAAGAATATACCAGTGTGTTGCAAAACTGGGACTTTAGTTAAAATACAATTTTAACTGGAAACTTTGCTTTGCCCTGTTAGGATATCAGATTTTAAATACATTGCAGATGTTCATCTGTGCTATTATAGCATGATTTAAAATGATTACTATGGTTCAATAGGAGTTGAAGCAATATATGGAGATTTTAAAACTTGTTTTGAAGAACCTGAACAAATACGTATTTAGGTATCCTGAAAGACTAGCCTTAGAGATGGAGCACTAGGGAGATCAAGAAGAATGAGAAGAGCTTGACAGAAAGCTTGACTGCTGGCTAGTCAGAATGCATATAGGTGTGGCATTTGTGAATCCTAGATATAATTATAGAAGAAAGGGACATAAAGCAAGAGTTATTTTCTTTAACCAGAAGTACAGCAGTAGCTGTACAGTATTACTGTAAATAAGGAGAGTGTGGTAATGTGTGTGTGAAAGAGCCTTTGAAGGTCTGCCTGTAATCACAGCATTGATGACATCTACCAAATGGACTGTAAGAGTACAGATATTTGATTGCTTAAGCTAGACAAAAACAGATCAGACATGTACTTATCTGGAACAGGATGTTGGTATCATTTGAAGAGCGAAGCCCAGCAACTGTATCCACTCCTACCTCCCACCTGAATTTTATTCTATAGCTTGATTTGATGGGGCAGGTAAAAGCTGTTACTCAGGTCACAGTGAGAACTACCAGACCTAATGGACTGTTACTCATATAGGACAGGAAGGATCTGAACCCTGGGAAAAAAATTACTTATCTTCATTCTTAATGTATCTGGTAAGTGCCTCAACAAGGCTTCCACTTCTTGAGTGTTTGCTTCTGTAATTAATCAATGTGTCTTATAGGGATAATATCAGACCTAGCAAAAGAAGTAGGGAGGGAGGACGCAACCTTTAGTTTGTTTTATGTGACACCTAGAGATGGTAGCTGAGGCTTTAGGGTCATGTATATGCAGTTTACTACCTATTACTGTATGAGAGCAGCAGAGTGTAGGTAGAAGGCAGAGAACATGGTAATAATATTCCAATTTCATTTGACATGAGCCACAAGAATCAAATTCATTTATTGTGTCAAAAGACAAAATATCAACACAATAATGTGAAATTGCTGGCATAGCAGGACAGATATCTACTGTACAAGGATGTGGTTTCTGTGTGTTCTTAATAGTCTCATCTGACCACCATGGCTTCTGTGCTTCTTGGTGTGATGGGTTGGTATTCTCTGAACTAGCTTCTAGCCACTGTTTCTCTCAAAATATTGTCTTAGATCCCTACCAGTCAGGCTGCTAATCAAAATCAAGAGGCAGTTGGTGGTATTGATATATAAGCTCTTGTGTATCATTTATGAAGGGCAAGGTTTTTATACATCTGTGGAACCTCTCCTACTCCAGACTGGTGTAAGAGGACAAGGCTTATTAGAAGGCTACTGGGATGGACAGCTATACTGTCCTTCCCTCCAGCATTAGAGCCATGTTGTTTCCCTTCTGCTTTTCCAGCATGTGCATGCATATACTCATGAAAACTTGAAAAGTAGTCCTGGACACAAATTGTAGCCGTATGCACCCTAAGCACAACCCTTCCTACTTTCACATTGTATGTTAAAGCTGCCTGGAGACTGCATTCTTGATGTTGGCTGACCATTTTGCGGTTGGGAGGAAAGATAATCTTGAATCTACAACTATGTAAGATGGGCGTTGTTCTAATAGGAAAACTGAAAAATCTTGCTACAGATGGATGGAAGGCAATGTTCCCATGACAGAAGAATTGTTACCAGGTTGAACACTTTCTGTCGAGCTAAGGTTAACTGAAGGCCCCTTCTGGACTCTTGGCTAAGTTTCTGCCAGAAATATTTTCTATTCCAATGCAGAGGATTTTCTGGCAGCAGTAGGGCTCTTAACCCCTTCTTGCTAATGGTATTGTCACCACTTCAGCAGTCTGCCTTAGGGGGACTAAATTACAGGAATGTCATTTACTTTGGTGCAAGCATTAGACTGTTCAGGCAGTTAATTTAGAATGTACTTGTGCCTCGGCAGCAGTATGGGTAATGATGCATGGAATCACAAAATCGTTGAAGCTAAAAGGGACCACTTCCTATCATACAGTCCAGTACCCACACCCATCAACCTCCATTCAAAAATCTTTTCAAAATGGGTATGCAGCACTTTGAGCTACTTGTCATCTTTGTCCTGCATTTGAATCACAGCATGCATATAAACCATCCAGCTTTGAAGTGTGACGCAAGAACCCAAAGACACGAGCTAAGTTAATTCTTTCACAGACACATTATACAGCCCTTAAGGCTGAGGCTTTGATGAGCCCTTTCCAAGGTCCCTAAAGCCAGTTTGGGCTTCAGAAACTGTTGCAGACTAATGGTCATTTTTGTCCAGTTCTTTCTTTTAGTGTCAGTGCAGTCCATGTAAATCTTAAAAGTGTTTGAAAGTAACAAAACACGTCCCTCTAATAAGAAACAAAGACCCACATGCAATTTGAAAAGTCTGTAGCTGTTCATGGTAGCAGGAGATCATGCAGTGAATGGATGCATGCGTACATTGTTTCCAGGCTGGCAAGGAAAAAGTAGGGCCTGTTGTAGTTACGGTCCTTCCCTTGTCTGGGGCTGAGGTGGAGTTCTTTTGGTTTGTTTTGGTTGGTTTGGTTTCTTGGGGTTGGGTGTGTTTGGTGTGGGTTTTTCTTTGGTTGGTGGGTTTTGTTGTGTTTTGTTTGTTTGTTTGTTTTGTTGTTGGTGGTGGTTGGTTGGGGTTTTTTTCGATGCGTAACGTACATGCAAGTATGCACCTAGAATGAATAATGGGTTTGCTGTCTGCCTTCATGAGATTATTTCTATAAACCCACAAGGGTTTGGAATTGATTCGTAGATTCAAATTGATTTTTTATTTTTTTTTTAGTACTGTGATAGTCAACTGACTAAATATTTATTCTGCTGTTCTATATATGTTTGACCAAGTAACAGCCAGCTCATGTATGTTTTCTTAAAGGTGTGGGTCTATAACTTGTGCTTGCAGATGCAATAGCTTTTCCAGAGCGGTTGGCTTAGTCTGCATTTGAAATGTATAATCCTTTGCATTTGGATTTGGTTTTATATATATATATATATATATTTGTAATTTCCACCATAAACTTTAGGGGATTAAAAGTCCCAAGATTATATATATAGGAGTCTAAAGTAATGGGATCATAAAAGCTGGGGGAGGGAAAAGTGCCATCTGCAAGCAATAAGGAAGTTAAAAATAATTTTGTTGCCTTCTGTGTATGAAAATGAGTACCATACCGTTTTCACTGTTAACAATTTGATGTCATGGTTCATCCGCACAGTGCTTGCTAATTCTTTAAAGCACTGTTTTCTCAGATAGGCTTAGTCTGATTTTGTGAAGGAATAAATTACACCCCGGGAACTTAATATTAACAATGTGGGAAGGCTCCAGAGATTATGCAGCAAACATTGGTACTTGCATGCAGGTTAGAAAGTATTTTTACTCTTATTAGTTGAGCACAGCAATTTGATCAGCCTGTATACTGCCTAGCTGCTTCCCTTTGTTGCTGACCTGTAACTGACTGATTCCTGTTTGCTACTGAAAATCGTGATATTAGCACGACTTGAAGAGAAAATGAAGAGATTATTTTCTTCTTATTTATAGCTCTATTAGGTATTTATCTGGTTGAATGGAAAATGTTATGTCTGTAAAGGTTTATTCAGCGTGTTATCAATCTGAAATGTCAGTTTAATTAAGCCTTTGAATGGTAGCAGACTGCTTTGTAATTTAATAATTGCATATTGTTAAGACTGTTGCTACATTTGTGTTCAAAGACTCTTTACCACTTGTCTTAAATGCTGATGTATTACCATTGGTTTTAATGTCATTTGATAGCGTGTATGGTTTGTGTTTTAGATGTGACATCCAAATAGAAACAGTCCTATTACATCTGGAACTGTTTTAAGTGCTATTTATCACCTTTGTGAAGGATCAACAGATGATTTATTCCTTCGTATGTAAAAAACTATAAATTTGACCTCATTTCTTTCACAGATGCAGAACCAGTGAACTCCACATTTGGGAAGAAAAAAGACAAAAAATTAAAAAGACGGGAGGTAGCATAGAGCTCTGGGTTACTGATTCCATTTGAGTTTTTTGAAGGGCTATATCCTACCTCTGAGATTGGTGTTTGTATCTTAAGCTTTACCCATCTTTGACAAAAACTATAATCCACACTAGTTTATGTTTCCAGGCATCTTTAGACTTTAAGAGACCTGCTTCATTTGGAGATCTTTACCCCTTAAATTAACACTAGGAGAGGTTTTTTCCTTTTCTGACTAAATTCTTGCTGTCTCCCAGACCCTGTAATTCCCTTTGAAGAAGTACCAGTCTGTCCTGAAGTCTTGGAGACATTCTCCTAAGAGCTCCAACCCTTCCTGTGATTTAAATGCGTTCCTAGCCAACTTGACAGCAGTACGAAAAAACCCTCACAGGTGTGGAAGCCAAGCATTCATCTATATTTGGGATTAAGACTTAAGTCTCTGGTCAGGCATCCCAGAAATAGTAGCAGCACCACACATGTCAAATACTGCACTCTGCAGGTAACATTACCCAGGCTACATCATGCCTTTCTTCACTGTAACATGCCATAAAGAAAAGGTAGAGTGGAGCAAGGACATTTCATTTATTTATTTACAAAATTAGATATTAATTTACATAGTAGAAGAAAAGATATTGGCACATCTCATGAGAGAGGAGGAACAAGAATCCACGTTATTACAGCTCACTCCCATATAGCTACAGCTCTGTTCTGCCAGAGAAGACTGTGGCTCAAAGCTCTCTCAGGAGCATCTTTAACAAATTTCCCTATGAAAAGTCACTTCAGATTATAACTTACGATGCTTAGTATAAAAATAAATTCTTTGGTTACCAAGAAGGCCATAACCCAGTTCTTTAACACAGGCAGCACTAGACACACCTCTAGCTAAACGTGGGAAGATTTCGGGTAGCACCAGCCCTGGAACAGGACTACAGTAAAGGGCAAACCCTACAGTTACAAAGAGAAGACAGTAAATGCAAGTTAAGTACATAGTAAAGGAGAAAGTAAATAATGTCCAAACTAATCAAGTAAGGGGGATGCAGTTTTCATGTTCTGATTCTTGGACCGTTCCAGCAACAGAGTGCCTCTACCAGAAGGACAGAGAATAAGTGATTTTTAAGGCAGTGATAAACGCTAGTGCATTTTACATCATATTAATTACAGGAATATTCTTAACGAGCAGAACTTGCAGCCCCTCGGGTAAGAGTCGCAGGCAGGGCACTCCCGCGGCTAGCGGGACGCCGCAAGGGCCCCGGGAGCGGGAGCGCGGCGGCGGGCAGTCATGACGTCAGGAGTGCGACGGAAGCCACCTGACTGGAGATCGGCGGGCCCTCCGTGTCCCCGGTGTCGCCGGTTCTCCCGGCTCGGCCTGCCCGGCCTCCCCCGCCCCCTGCAGCGCCCGTCTCTCCTCAGGCCCCAGATTCGCCCCCTTTCCTCCTGCTGCGGGTGCCCGTAGGCTGTGGCGCGGGCCGCGGAAGTTCTGGGAGCCGGTCCTGCCGTGGAGCGATGGCCGCAGGGAAGCCCCAGCCCGGTCCGGGCTCCGGGAGGCCGCGCGAGCCGTGGCGACTGCCCACCGAAGGACACCCCGCGCCGGGCCGACTCCTGAGGTGAGCGGCGCGGAGTCTCTAGCCCTCGGCGTGCTCTTTGTCTGCGGAGGTACCGGGGGCGGGCGTGGGGAGCCGATCGCGCCGGCTGCGGAGCGGTTGGAAAACAGCCTCGTGCACGGTGCTCCAGCACCGCTTTCGGAGGCCCTTAATTTCAGTATTAGCTTCACATATTGAATACAACAAGCGCCTTAGAGCTCACCGGTTTTTTTATTCAGAGGAAGCCTGTTAGAATTAGAGAACACAAGCCTATCTGAACAGCAAATGTGCTCAGCTATATGTGCTGAGGAAAGCTGTCAGCAGTAAAAAGTTACTGTATCAACTTGTGGCTCGATAGGGGCAGCTGTTTCTGTGCCTTTGACATCCAGAACTTTCTTGTGCTTTTTATCAACAATTGCATGCCGTGTGCAGCCTTTTATAGCGAAGACTGTACTTTTCTGTACTACTATGCCCTGTTAAGAGGTGTACTCTAGTATCTTATGCTATGAAGGTAAAGTGTCTATGCACAAATAAACGTACTGTTGAGTGCCACTCAGATTCCTCAATTTGAGCTTCTGTTAAATTCAGGCAGTTGTCTAATGAATGGAATTAGACCTTCCAGAGAAAATAAATAATTATGATTTTTAAACTGTTTATCTGACATTTGTCTTGTTAATCAATGGCCCCAGGAAGCTGAGATGCCACACGATAGTATAAGTATGTGCAGATCATGTATTTCAGGAGGTGGTATTCAATTTCACAGTTAGTGCTCGGTGGAAATAAACATTGGAAATAGGAGAAAAAGACACAGGAGAGTTTTTGTTTTTAATGCACCTAGGTCACAGTAGTGCAAACATGTCAAAACTGATACTAGACCAGCACAAGCTCAGGTCCTTAGACAAGCCAAATTCAAATATGACTAATGTATCCTTCACCAAATTTGTTGGACATCTCTTTGTATATTCTTAAAAAATTTCTAGTTACCTGCTTTGTGTTTAAAATAGTTCAGGAGAAAGATATGAATAAGTTCTGTCAGTAACTAGCTTTTCCTCTGCTTATGTGCTTTGTATTTTTTTCTTTCATCAGTATAATACATGAGTAAACTCTAAGACAGTGTTTACTTGCTATAATAGGTTTAAAACTTAAACTAATCCTTACCTTAATGGAATCAGAATTTGAAAGTGTTAATCTAAAACAAGAAAGATGTTAACATTCATAATGAATACTAACATTCACTAGCTGCATAAAATTTACTTTTAAGTCTGATATGGGACAAATTATAGTTCAAAGTGCATGCAAATGCATAGTCCTAACCTAATGAATACTTTAAAATGCATTTGGTCGCGTCAGTCTATGTGTTAATGTGCCATTTGGAATACTGATGTACCAGTAATAAAGATGTGATTCTTACCTTGTTTTCTGAACAGAACTAATACAGTATTTTGATGTATCACAGGTAAATTTTTCCATAACCTTATGGAGAAAAAGGACTTTGAAGCATGGCTTGATAACATTTCTATTACATTTCTTTCTCTGACGGACTTGCAGAAAAATGAAACTCTGGATCACCTGATTAGCTTGAGTGGAGCAGTGCAGCTCAGGCACCTCTCCAATAATTTAGAGATTCTCCTCAAGAGGGACTTCCTCAAACTTCTTCCATTGGAACTTAGTTTTTATCTGTTAAAATGGCTTGATCCTCAGACCTTACTCACATGTTGCCTCGTCTCTAAGCAGTGGAACAAGGTTATAAGTGCCTGTACAGAGGTGTGGCAGACTGCATGTAAGAATCTGGGTTGGCAGATAGATGACTCTGTTCAGGATCCTCTGCACTGGAAGAAGGTTTACCTAAAGGCTATTTTAAGGATGAAGCAACTGAAGGACCACGAAGCCTTTGAGACATCCTCTTTAATTGGACACAGTGCCAGAGTATATGCACTTTACTATAAAGATGGACTTCTGTGTACAGGTAGGAAGGGCAGACAACTTGGGGGTCTTACAATTCTTTATTTTCTCTTCCCCTCCTATGATTATTGACAATTTTCCTTTACCAGACAGATTATTTTCATAGTGCAAATGAAGTTTAGATGATTCAAAATTACTTTTTTTTTTCAATTTCTGAAACACCTGCTGCACTACTGAACCCATCAGTCACTTTAAATAAGAGAACAAGGAGACGAATTTCTCTGTTTGTTAAAAAATTAGTAGCAGCATGTATAATTGTTCCTGCCCATGGCAGGGTAGTTGGAACTAAATGATCTTTAAGTTCCCTTCCAGTCCAAACCATTCTGTGTTCATGCTGTTGCTATTAGTAAGCCCATTTGAGAAATACAAATATGTTAGTTCTCCTCTAGGAGGATAACTTTCAGTTAAAGGGGCTTTGTTTGGGCTGCGTGAGCACTTCAGTCTCCTAAAGTGTGGCAGAAAAAGTCCTATCTTCTTCCTTGAAATGAGACTGTAAGCACTTTCAGTTCTAAGTTCTGAGTGCTTTATGAAGATGTGTAAACTAGATTTAACCTTGCTACTAGTCTGACTTGCACATAATTTCTGAACACTGCAGATTCCAAGATTTCAGTTTGAACTTAAAAATACAGACAGAACATGTATGAAGCATTGTGTGAAAAATTAGTAACAGAATTACAATGAACGGCTGTTAGAGCATATTCCAAGGATTTCCCAATCATTTGAGATGACAACATTATACACTAAGTTAGGAATCCTAAGTACTCCCGCATTTGTTGGTACTGTAAGATGATTACCAGAAAGCAACAACTAAATTCTAGCCAGTCTTTCACTTACCTACTCAGCAGGGAATGTTAATACACAGGAAACAGCACTGTTAAAACTTTTTGACACTTTCATGCTGCAACCACCAGGAGAAGCAAGAGGTCTAAGGGTCTGGGGTTTTATTCTGCTCTCCAAAGCTAGCAATTAAAAAAACAACCAAAAAAACTTCAGGGAGAGAAAGGAAACTGGCAGTTGATGGGGCCTGGTGTTCATCTGTATTTCAAGATTTGGTGGACCCCTTTCCTACCTGAAACAAACTAAGCGTGCAGTATAGTCAGTGGCTCTACAAACCTGAGAATGAGGTGTCATGTAAAACTTCCATGGATCTGTCAGTCAGAGGTAGTGCCAGAATCTGTAGGTGCTAAAAGGATGTGAAGAAACTGGAAGGCCAAATACCTAGTAGCTTCATTAACATGAAAACAAGATGCCTTTTTTGTAATGCTGAGACTTAAAACTAGGGCTTATTTCCTATTCAAGCAGCTTGAAAGTATATTTAATGAGAAAATGTTCAACAAGAGGAAGTGCCAAGCCCTGCCTCTGAGGTGGATCAACTCCAGGCCACCTTTATATGGTAG